TGCAGAGGCTGTGAGCAAACTGTGACCCTCCTTCCACCTGCCCGGCACAGAGAGCAGGATGGGCTTCCCCTTCTTTCCTACCCCCACGCATTTTGGGTTCTCTTCCAAGAGCTAAACTCCAAAATGTCTTCCTTGACTCCCGAGTCTTGCTGCCTTTTTTCTTTTGGGATCTGAGGCCCAGCACAGACAATAGAGATTGAGGATTTCGGCGCTCTGATTAGCGGGCAGGGGCAGAGGGGATTTTCGCTGTGCTGGGAGCACTACAGCTGCTCTTGAAGATTTCTTTCCCTTTCCAAAGCTGAGAGAAAGGCGATTTTTCTTACCGCCGCTCCTCCTGGAGAATTAAACAGCCAAATGGGCGGCGCTGCCATTCACGCTTCGCTATGCACAAAGCGGCTGACGCTCAGCGCTGGGCGCCGGCCTCGCACAATGGCATCATTAGACACGCAGGGCAGCTCTGCAGCTGGAGCTGCCACCAGGCTGAGGTGGTGTCAGCTTTTTTTGTACATAAATGCATCTTTTATTTTTAAAAGCATGGGGAAAGAAGATGCAGCGTCTTGTCTTAAAGATTGAGGAAGCAGTCTGGCAGTGGGAAGGTGATTTAGGCTGGGAGAAAGTGGAAGAAGCTCTTCTCTCTCCGCTTGTATTGGAAAAGGAGGTGGTGGAGTCGCTGTCCCTGGAGGTGTTCAAGAGCCATGGAGATGTGGTGGCTGGGGACATGGTCAGTGGGCATGGGGAGGTGGGTTGGGCTTGGGAATCGGAGAGGTCTGCTCCACCTCAACAAGTCTGTGGCTTGAGGCAGGTGCCTTGATGTGGTGCCAACCAGGACAGGTATTTAATGAGCTTCAGCCATACCAAGGCTTGGTTCTGCTGCAGCTGTGAGCCTGATCTGAGACCAGTTCAGGACTGTGTTGAACTGGTACGGTGGGCTGTGGTGATTTAAAAACAACCCTGACTTCTGCTGGCCCAAAGGGAAATTCAGTTTAATTAGGAAGTTGGAAATATTGGTATGAAAATCAGCAGCCTTACCAGCACCAGGATAGAACTGTGCCTGCCTGTGACTTGTTCTCACCATGTTCTTCTCAGGATTCATATTTCTCAGCTGTAATAGAGCTAACAAAGCCTACCTTCCTCATCAGGAGCAGCTGGAAGCTCAGGTACTTCCTTGTTCCATGTACTGAATTAATTCAGAGGCATTTTAGCCACGTGCCTCCATTGGAAGAGGCTCAAATGTAACGGGTTGGTGGCAGAAATGTGGAGAAAAGGTCTTGCCCTTGGGTTGCAATTTGTGGGCTCTCTAGCCTTGGTTTGGGATGTTCAGCATCTCCCCAGCATCCTCGGGCATCGCAGCCCTGGGTATTTGCTTCCCACAAGAAATTTAGAAGCAACAGGCAATGCAACTCCAGATCTAGGTGGGCTTCCCAGTACTCTCCTAACACCATGCTTGGCACCAAACCTTGTAAGTTTTCTTCCTACCCTTGTGTCTGCAGCTGATAATAATGTTTGCGTTTTAATGATTCTAGCAGGCCTGGGATTTACTTTGACATACCAAGTTAATGTTTTCTTTTTCTATATCAAATCTAGGGCAATCTCTGGCTTAGCAGTAATGCTGTGCTGAGCAAAAAAGGATTGGCCACTAATGGTTTCAATTTAGTTCTTCATGGAGTCAAGGAAATTTCATTTGATAGTTATTCTCAGTTTTATTCCATTGGCCTTTTCATGGGAGCTGATAGGCTGTGAGTGTGTTTGCTCTTTGATTAAAGGAGCCCCAGCGTGCTTGTTTGCCAGAACAAATCCCTTGTGAATATGGATGAGGATGAGAGCTGTTGCTCACCTGAGTGATGCTGTGGCTTTGGAGCTGTGTCTGTAGGATATGCATTGGGATGAGGGCTTCTCTTTAGGGAACCAACTCCATTTTGACAGAGGTCCTCCAAGATTAAAAGAATGGAAGAGTAACTCCTTTGCCTCAGGCCTTAGACTTCCCAGCTGGCATCTGTCCCAGGTGGGAAGGTGCACCCACATGAGTGGCACGGAGGGGCTGTTAAAGCCATTGGCACTGCGGAACATGGTTTGGTGGTTGTGGTGGTGATGGATTGAGTGAATGGTTTTCTCCGGCCTTAGTGATTCTGTGATTCTATTCTGTGATTCTGCGTTTCCCCATCTTCTGCAAGCCTTATTCTGTGGCATTTTGGTTTTTTATCTCTCTGCTTTGTGTCAGTCTCTGCATACCATGGCTGAAGTCTAGGAGTGATGTGAGCAAAAGCACTGAGACACCATGGTTTGTAGCATCAGCGTGGAGTAGGGGCTGTGTGAAGGATTCAGGTCTGGCTTTACTGTTTGCTGGGTACCCTGTGCTCACCGTGCATGGAACTGTGCTCCACAAGGAGGTGAAAGAGGGCAGATAAATGGGATACTTGATGACACTACAGAGGGCCCTGGGGCAGCACCAGTTCCTCCGTTGGCACACGGATGGTGGAGACTGTGGGAGAGCGATGGGTAACATGGGCTGCTGGATTCCTGGTGTCTCCCTGCTTAGGGGCTTATATTAAGAGGGAATATTGTGATCGCATGTATTTACTTTTTAAATGATTATGGCCATTAGCAGAGAAATTAGATGCAGCTCCCTGGCTGCTGGCCAACCCCACCGGGCTGCCGTGCAGCTCCTCTCTGTGTGCTGGCAGCAGGAGTCTGCCGAAGGACAAGTGACAACCATGAGCAAGCACTTCGCTGCAGGAGTTTGTGTACAGTCACCTGGCACATATGTAAAATTCTTGGGTGGCTCAGCAGAGATGGAGGCCCTCTGAGCAATGCCCAGCAAAGCAGCCGCGCTCCTGTTCCGCTCCTCTCCGCACACCTTGAGATTTATTGCTGGCTGAAAGCAGCATCCAGGCAGCCACCTGCATTTAAGTTTGGTTGCTGTTTTACTGGAGGTGCTGCGAAAGCCTTTGTCTTGTCAAGTGTAAATAAACTCGTAAACCTGTGTTAAAAATAGCATTTTGTAGCTCAGTGAATGAATTTTTAATGCATCTTCTGCAAACCAGCTGGTCTTGGCAAGGGTCACAGTGTTTCCTAGGCATTTAACATAAAACCGTGCTTCAAAGCCACATTATAGGGTCGTTGAAAAGTAATATTTTACTTAACATCCTCATAACTGAATTATTTATAACTTCCCATGTTTTATTCATGATAAATATTAATACTGGTGTCTTTAGGAGCGGAGGTTATTGCTGCAGTTTTACCTATAAGAGGTGATATTATTGAAATAAAGGAACGACAGTGAATTCTACAGCCAGCAGAGCGACGTCTGTGCTGGGGCTGTTCTCATTCACACCTCCTTCTTATCAACCCTGTCAGCCACTGAAAAAACCTCAGTGCTGAGCATCTGTACATTTGTAACCAATTTTCCTGCAGGCATCTGAATCCCTGCTTTTTTTTTCTTTTTTTTCCTCTTTATTAACAACCTCTATGTCATTCTTTTTAATTCTTGGATTCACAGTTCTTCATTCAAAGCTGAGGATTCATCGGCTTTGGTTGTGAGATGCTCACCCCAGCCTGAGCTCTCCTGCCTTGAGAATTCCCATTTGTTTCACTTTGGAAAGGGGTTGCCTGGGTTGGAGGCTGCTGTGCAAGACCCTCCGGCTGCCTTTGGAGGCCTTCCCACACAGCTGGGTGCTCTGGGACACGAGCAGTCTCTTTTCCAGGCTGAACCTGTAGCAACTGGGTAAATTACCATTTGAGCATTGGGCTCTGCCCCGTGCCAGAGGGGCTATTTGCATTAGCTTTCATCTTGGGAAAGGGAAATAATCAGTGCCTGATCTTCTGCCTTGTGCTGATGTGTGCAGCCTGGCATGGGGCTGGGGGCCCCAACCCACGCCTGTATGGCTGAAAACCCCTCAAACCCCACGACCAGGTTGAGGTTTTGCTGTGCATCGTTGCAATCCTCTTAACAAATCTGCTGCGAGCCTTGGGTCGGGGAGCAGGGCGGGTTAATGCAACACATATTTAATGTATGATTGCTAATGGCCACCTCCCATCTGCCTGAGCCCAACTGGAGTTTGCAGATGAATGATTAAGCTGCCCTGACACATGGGCAGCTTGTTCCTTAGCAGAGGTACATTCATTATGCCTGACACATGTAATGGGGATGGGGCTTTCTGGCTGGTGTGATGGGGCTGGGGTGGTGGAGCAGGGGCTCTCTCTGAGTTTATTTTATATGATAATGTGAGCAATCTTCCTGCAGATGCAGCACTATCAATGAATCACGAGCTAAGTAACCACTGGGATGTTTATTAGCCTTGAATATGTTTATTGCGGAGTCAACAGGCAGCACCTTCCAATTAATTAATAGTAATAATTACTGTATTATTTATGTAGCTCTAACAACACGCCAGCGTCTTTCTGCACAATGGTTACAGCTGTGGCTTTGCTGCAGTGGGCAGGTCTGCATGCACCCTGTGTGGGCATGCTGGGGTCTGTCATTCTCTGTGGGGTGGTCTTGACATTACCAACGTTGGTGAGCGGGGCTGCTGAGCTCCTGGCAGCCTGTTATGTGTTGCCTGAAACCTGTTGCTCTGCAGTCTGGGAATGCTTGAAGGTAGAAAGTGCAGTGCATCAGTTGGCTCGGTGTGCAGGTCTACAGCAAGAGTTGGCCACGAGGTAGGAGAAGAGGTTTCAAGCAGCCTGCTCTTCTGCCACGGCGGATGCAGGGCGATGCAGTTTGCCAGCTGTAGGAAATTGAGACATTTGTAGTTGATGTGCAGCTGTTGGTCATGGATCTCTTTTCACATGTGAATATTTTCGAGGCCCTGGCACTGCTGCCCAGAGAAGCTGCGGATGCCCCATCCTTGGAGATCCACAGGTTGGATGGGGTATTGGGCAGCCTGATCTGGTGGGGGGCAACCAGTCCATGGCAGGGATTGGAACTAGATGGTGTTTAAGGTCCATTCTAACCCAAGCCATTCTGTGATTCTATGATTTTTGTCTCTCTTTGTGTCTTCCAGCCATGTCTGACTTCCACATCCACCCTCAGAATGCAGTGGTGGAGGAAGGGGGCGTTGCAAGGTTCCAGTGCCAGATTCATGGTCTCCCTGAGCCGGTCATCCTCTGGCAGAAGAACCGCATGCCAGTCAACACGGACAATGAAAGGTAGGGCATGTCCAAGCCACATAACACTATTCCACACCTGTGGAAACAGGTGACAAAGTTGTACTATGGCATGACTGATGCGGGCTGAGACTTTTATCTACCATTTCTGCCATGGAAAACTCTTTCAGTTCATGTTTTGAGTTGTCTGGGCACCTTCTGGCTAAAGACTGTCCAGAAACAGTGCGTGCTGTAGGTGTCCCTGTTCGTTGTAGGGGAGTTGGGCTAGAGGACCTTTAAAGGCCCCTTCCGACTCGATAATTCCGTATTACAGGAGAGCTAGTTAAACCCTTTTAGCTGATTTTTCTGGGGCATAGGCTTACATTGCCCTCTCCTGAGAGGAGGCAGCCCTCCTCCAGGCTGACATTCCAGCATGGAGAGCCACCAGCAGTCCTGGCAGAGCTCAGAGCAACTCTGGCACCCCTCATCACTCTATGGCCCCATTTTGTGCAACTCTTTCCAAGCTAGAATCATGATTTCTGGTCTTAAAGGTGTCTCCTGAACCTCTACAAGCACCAAGTTACACCACGGCGTTTTGTTGGGGCAGCAGGGAAGCTCTGCAGAGCATCCCACAGTGCTGCTGTTTCCCCTGCAATCTTCCAGCAGAGAAACGCCAACCTCTCCCCTTCCCCCATGCTAGACCTGGGACGGCACGTTCTCACTTCCTGTGTTTGCCAGGCTGCTCCATTCGTGTCGGAAACATCCCTAAATCCCAACAGGTGGCAGGAAGTGCGTGCTCCACACCAGTGTTCCCAGCTGCAGCTGGAGGTCTTCATGACCGGCGGTGGGAGACAATCGGTCGCAGCACACCTCCATCACCAACTGATGGCTGTGTGTTGGGAATAGGCGAAACCAGGAAGCTGTAAATATTTTTCCTGAAAGCCTCTATTCTTGAAATGTCAGTCCTTCTGCAGCGCGTGGTTGGGTTCTTTGGAGGCAGGAGAAAACATGAGGATTGGAACAATACCTGACCTTTTCAGTGCTACGGTGAACTTACAGTAGAAGGACCCAAGAGGCCCAACCCTGCAGTGGAAAACTGCAACTGTCAGGTTGTGTTTTTCTTGGTGTTTTTCATCTGAGCTTTTTTTAGCCTGGTACATGGTTGGTTTGTTAAATTTAATCTCCTCTGAAGGCTCCTCACTCAAACAAGCGCTAAACCAACTATGTAGCAGAGTAGGGCATCTGGTCCAAGGTAGCATCAGCAGGAGTGGAGGTTTAGAATTGGGCCTGACACCTCGTGTAAATCCTAGTGAGATGTTGCGGGATGGGTGGATGGGTGAAGTTGCTCATTGCCCCCTTTTTGAGCTCGAGGTTACTGATGTGAGGATAGCCAGACTTATGGCATGATCCAAGTGTGATAAGGGCTCTTTTTTTCCACTGGGGAGGAAGAGGCAGACCACCACGAACTGCATTCATCCCACTGCTTCTGTATGGGGCAGGGAGCTTGCCCAGGATGTGGCCTAGGAGCAGGTTTTCCATGTTTGGTGTCCTGATTTTGAACAGGCTTTTAATAGGAGTACATTTATAGGGAAGATTTTTATTGTTAGCTCAGTAGATTAATCTCTGACACCAGTGGTCCTAAGTGGTGAGGGTTGTTTCTCTAACTGAATTGAATTTCTGCATTAATCATGCTTGGCACAATTCTGCTTATAGACGCGTATATAAATTTGTATGCTGAGTCTTGCACTTGGAGGCTTTGAAGGCAGAATAATAGCTTTGGAATTGAATCTTCTAATGCTGTGGGCAGATTGTTAACAAAATGAAGGCTTCTTGTGGTATAATTCATCCAAAACAACGGGCATTTTAAAGTCCCGGAGAGATTGCAATCAACTTCTGGACGTGTAGAACTGATTGCTGTCAGGCTGCCACCGACACTGAGCCACACACATGGAAGGTGGCACAGGGAGCAGGTTGTAGGCATTTAACCATATGCTGCCATAGAAGAAGATATGCTTCATCTTCCAGGCGGAAGTGGATTATTAACTCATCACAGTGTAATGACATACTACAGCCAATTTAAACACACAGTTGCCAAGCAACCTGTGATGTGTGTACACGTGTGTGTGTGTATGCATGCATGCTCCAAATTAATCTGTTTTATATATACAAAATATTTACAGTTACATATATGCCTGCACAGTATCTATTTTAAAGACTCTCTTCCGTGCATTTGAGGTTTTAAGGTTGCATGGGTTTGAGTCCTGAGTTGGGCCTGGAACTGGGAGTGTGGAACGCACACTTCCCCTGGTGCTCACTCGCAGTCGTTGTGCTTCAGCTGATGGGATGTAACACACATTCAGCTGTGTTCACATGAGAACACACTTCCAAAGCTTTCCACAGGTAAGTGGGAAACACTTACTTTGTAGCCTTCCATCAGAATCCATCCTTTCCCAAGGATGCATTAGAAGATGAAAAAAGGATCCAACCTTCCTCCCTTGAGTGATGTCATGTCCCGCTTTCACATCGTGTCCTGCCTTGCAGGGTTCTGATTCAGCTTTTTCTCCTGCTGCAGGTACACGCTGCTTCCCAAGGGGGTCCTCCAGATTACAGGACTAAGAGCAGAAGACAGTGGGATTTTTCACTGTGTTGCCACCAATATTGCTAATGTGAAGTTCAGCCGGGAGGCCAGGCTCACTGTGTCAGGTCAGTACCAGCACAGGCTATCCTGGCTGCCTTTCCTTCTTTTTCTACCTGTTGCTGTTCTAAACTGGAACCATTTAAGAGTGCTTCAGGCTGACAGCACTGAGAAGCATTCCTCTGTCAGGCAAAAGCACTTTCCTCGTTCAGGATTAGCCCATTTGCTAGCAGATAAATCTGTTTCTTAGCCTTCAAATTAATGCCAGTTTCTGGAGAGAGGGAGGACAGTGCAAACAAGGGTTAGAGCATCTTTACATTAAATAAATTCTTCTGGAAACGTGGAAGATTCATCACTTCCTTGTGAGACATGCCCACCCTGGAAGTAATTGCAGCACACACGGTGATCAATTATTTATCTAATAGGGGAATTATGTTCTGTAGGCTGTTAGTGTTACACTGCAACCAGAGTGAGCTAGCCTTTCTTTTGGAAGATGAGAAGGAAAAACCCTGAGCTCCCCAGTCTGAATTTTGACTTAGCTCTCCATCCAGATTTGAAGCAATTGGCAGAAAACTGGTTTTTCACCTCTGAAAGCTCCAGCTGAAGGAATGACAGTATCTTATGGTCCCTGCACAGAAAACACAGACCCAAGTCATATACTGGCTGCTTTTTTGTGTGCTGCTGGAAATACAATGCAATAGAACTGCTGTGAATTCAAACCAAAGCAACTCCCATCCACACTTTGCATGTGCAGAAGTTCAATCTGTTTAGGAGGCTACACAAACTGTGCCCTGGAAGTGATGAGCTTGAGTGTAGTTGAGGAAGAAGGAGGTTGCAAATACACTACCATGTTTCCATAGCTGTGTCATACTCCACTGCCCTGCCAACTGCCCATCTTCCATTAGCCATCCATGTGGGACTCAAGCTGACCTCTTGGAGCCCTGTGAGGCAATTTCTAAACTTGATTTTTAGATTGCCTCCTTCTGCTTAGGAATGTCTTTGCTGGTCAGTCTTTTTAATTCGAAACGCTTTTAGCTTCAGAAGTCTCTGTTGGTGCTTCAGTAGCTGCTCCTGGCATGAGCAAGTGGAAAGTATTAAGTCAAATTATACAACCCAGCCTCGGTGGTGAATGACACCATTGTCTCTCTTCTTAGAAATCACACGGCCTGCCTTCAGCTGCCTGGCCACTGGTCCTGCAGCGGGAGGTTTACACCTGCACCGAGTGTCAGATGAGCCCCTACAGACTGTAAAAAAGCAGTGTGTGTGAAATGGGGAGAAGCTGAGCAGTGAGTGATGCTGTGTATGTCAGCTCTTGTGGAGAAAGAAATCAGGTTAGCCGGTTCTGAAAGACCTGGGAGCTTTTGATGCCTGTTCTCTTGGTCTATGTGAACAGTAACTGCATGGAGGGGGAAAAGTACAGTAAATTATCAATGCATTGAAGTTCTTTGTGTCAATTTTCTGGTCTGAGCTATTGTTTCTTGTAAGACAGAAAGCTGTTAGCTGTTGTCGTCTTACCATCCCTCATTGCAAATGGATATTTTCCAGGTTTCCTGTCTATGCGATGTTTGTGGTTTTTCTTTTCCTTACAGCACTCAGATGATGAATACGGGCTCAGCATTTAAGTGTCTGCTGAAGGGCTTGGGCTGTGCTTCAATTACTGCATGTGAGCAGCGCAGCTGTAACAGCACCCTTGCATGCTCTGAGCCTGCTGAAAACACACTGCAGTGGGTTAAATCTCAGAGAAACAGGTTTGTGTGCTCTTGGTGTTTGCAAAGAGGAGGATGGCTGCTGCAGGGGAGGAAGCAGCCTGCTTGCAGCCCATCCCTTCCTCTTGCCCACAGCCCTGCCTTGCAGCCTTGCTGATTGATTATTTTCAAGTGCCTGCTTAGTGGAGCTGCTCCCCAGGGGCTGCCTGCCTCTCGGCGCTGACACCTTTTCAGCATGAGCTGCATCTCTCTCTGCTGCCATCCTTTTGATCGAGATCTAACGGCCCGTGCCGTCACTGCCGAAGTGCCTGTCACTCCAACAGAGCTGGGGACCTCCCCATCCTCTGCAATTGTTGCTGGTGGAGTCCCTGCAGACTGCAAGCATCAATGGAGGCTTTTTCCCTTTCGGAAGAAATCCCCCTCACGTTGCCTTGAACATCGAGCATGAGAATCCCTCACTGTGTCGCTCCTTCCCCCCTGCACGTTGGCTGGAGGAGGAAACCTCCTCCCTGATGGCCAGGGTGGCGACTGTTCCCTCTGGAGACCTTTTGGAGCTGGCAGTGGCAGAAGCATCAGTCCCAGAGATGGTCATGATCTGACCAAACTCATGGAGCTGATCCCATGCCTGGAAGCTTGATTGCATATGTAGGACTCAGGGTGTAAATCAAAGAGTGTGATTCCTTTGTTGTTGTTGGCAAAATGGAGCATTTTATAAATTCTGCTTTGGTCTCAGCTCCCGTTTGCTGATATTCTTGGGTGACCTTGGATAATTCGTTTCATTTTTCAGTGTTTTGAAATACTGAAATCTGTATATAATACGATGATAATATCGTATTATTCTAAGCGTGAACATTTACTATTGTGATTTAGAACAATAAATTTACATGGGTTTTAAAGGCACTCTGAGATACTGAGGGGAAGGTATTGTTTTTCAGATCTCTTGGGGTTAGCCAACCGGTCATATGAATTTATTGTGCATTCTGGTTCTCATCAAAAAAATCTACATTTTATGGCTTGCAGTGAAATGCATTCAATGAGAAAGTCAGCTCTTAAGTCACACCGACACGGTGATTTTTCCTGCATTTTGCCCATTTAGACACAACCTCAGAGCTTTTTTCCTGCAGGGATGATGAACACACGAGCTGCTCTGATCCATGCTGGCCATGTAGACCACTGTGAAATGCCCCTGCTCCGACAGGGTAGCCCTAAAAAAATGCAGGAAGAGAGGAAATCTTGGAGAAGAACTGTTGTAGATAGGTTTACTCTTTGGTGGGGAACAGGCCCTGCACTGCATTCCTGCCTGTGGCAGACCTCTGCTCCCACTCCCCAGTGCCCTTTTGGGGCAGTCAGCCCATGTATTCCCTGCAGGTGTTTTTCACAGAGCATTTTTGTCAGCAGCAGCTGTCAGATTGCTTTGGTTGCTCAAATGTTGCTTGACCTCAGCATTTCTGGAGTGCAACCCAGCTCTTGTTGGAAATGTGGAGCGTGAAGACTAATGAGGAGGCTGTCAGTGTTCTTGTTCGCTGATGGAGAACTGAGAGTACCTCCTTCAGTTCCTCTCTTGCTTCCTTCCAAAGAAATTGGGGGTGAAGGTTGATGGGAGCTTCAGCCCAGAAATAAGGCACTTTCTGGGGTTCACAGGAGGTTCAGCTGTGACACAGGGTGATGGTTTTGTCCCTAGTCATCTTTTGCCTGGTGAAATGTGATTTCTGTCTCTTATCCTTTGCCTCTGCTGGTCCCAGTGTCCTTGCACCAGAGCTTTTAATGTAGATCCACGAGTTGGACACAGTGGAACTTAAGGGTCCCTTCCATGTCAGAAGATTCCATGAATCTCTGATCTTGGGTGATGGTTTTTGTTCTTGGCTGCTGCACGTTGGTGCTGCTGTAGTGCAGCTAAGTACCTGTGATCTCACCATGAGCAGTGATTGTAGCATGACTGGCTCAGGGCGATGTGATGCAGCCCATCGTGCACCCTGGTACACCAAAGTGAACCAGCACTGGTGTGCTGCAGAAGACAAGGAATGATTGCCCTATGGCCTGCAGCCAGCAGAGCAGTTCCCTTCTCTCTACCATACATGTGCAGGGATCAACAGAACTGCTTGTCAGATGGCTGAGTTTTCCCCAGAAATATCAGTGCCCTCTTAAAACACATTCAGACAATGCAGCTGCCTCACAATTATTGCAATCCTTTTGTTTCATGTGTTTCCTAAATGTATTGAAGATGGCACCAGCCACATCGTTTGTAGATAGAGGATGAACAGAGCCCTCTATGTTTCCATCAAACAAGAGGGAATCAAATGCTGCGAGGCCGTGCGGATGCCTTCTAATGACGTTTCTGTCCTTGCAGGCTCCCACTCCACCGTTTACAAGGACCCCATGATTCTTGTTGGACCGGAGAACCTCACGCTGACGGTGCATCAGACTGCAGTGCTGGAGTGCATCGCCACAGGCAACCCCCGGCCCATCGTCTCCTGGAGCCGCCTAGGTGAGCCCCGGGGTGATGGGGTGTCTCATGTCTCCTTATTGCCATCGCAGGGGAAACAGGGAGTGCCACTGGCTGTCTCAGCAACAAGTGATTCACTCTTTTCATTCCTGCAGTGATTAATTGTATGCTTGAAGTGCTTTTTATTTTCTTGTCTACGCTTTGCTTTTTCCCTCTGCCGAGATCCTGTTTTCAGCTGTTAAGGAGTGGGCTGGTTCAATCTGTAGATGTATCATGAAAGGTGATAATTTTCTTTCCCCGACTGACAGCGTCTCCTTCAGCTGCATCAAAAACATCACCACTGTTGGCCCCAGAGAAACAGAATCATACAACACAAACACGTCTTCCGTGTAAAACAGACTTAAAAGAAACTTGCTGCCTGTTCAGAGAGTTCTATAAAAGCAGAGGGAGCTTAAAGTAGCCATGTCTGAAGCTCTGAAAAAACAGATGCTCACTGCCAAGGTCAGTGATATTCTTTAATCGGCATGGAAACCAGGGCCAGTGTCTGATGGCATCATACAAGCGGAATGTAACGTTATTCCCAGTCTGAAAGCAAGGGTTATTTTAGGCTCTAACTGGAATACTCAGAAAATACTTTGTGCAGAGCAACATTTCTGTTGCCCAACAGATGTCTGTGCTGAGCGAAGAGCTGATGGCTTTTGATTTGTCTTCTGGAGCTTGTAACTCTGTGTGAGCGTGCTGTGAGGTTGGGTTTAGTCAACATTCCCCAAGGCCTTGTGATCTGCAAGGCCGTGTGGTTTTTAGAAGCTAATTTCTCCAAGTCACCCCAAGTGGCTCTGAAGCACAAACAGGGATAATCTTGTCCTGTGCTGCTGGGCTGAATGCAGGGCGTCAGGTCCGTGCTGCTAGGGTCAAGTGAGGCTTGTGGGAGGAGTGATGTCCCACCACAGAGCCATCTGTGAGGGCACAAGGACACGTACCAGCAGTAATAGTGCATTTCTCCATGCTTGCCTTCCTGCTCACTTCCTCTGGTGGATTATAAAATCTGCCACTGACTGCTTTTCCCCCAGAGCCATAACCATCAGATGGATGCTGGTTTAAAAATTCCCCAGATAAGCTCTAGCACTGTTCTGGTTCTCCTGGACACAAAGCAGCTCTATGTTAGTGCTCAACTATAATAAACTATGTTATAATTGCCTTAATTATAAGTGCTTATTACCTTCTTCAAAACACTTGTCTCTGTAGAGCAGTGCAATAATGAAGATGTAATGGCTTCATGCTAGATTTGTCTGGATGGTGTGAGCTCAGCACTGCCTTCCACCAAAAATAAACACCCCTTGCGGCAAAGCAGCAGATTTAGAGCTGCTGAACAGGAAGGAGATCTCGTTACTTTCCTTACCCTTCAGTGTGAACGTTCCACGTCCAAAGGATGACGGTATCTTCATGACATTTCAACAATCTCAACAGCGATGTGGCTTACAGGCTCTGATAAGTCTGTAGGCCTGCTGTCTCTTTGCAGTGATTTCAGAAGCATTTTCCTGCCTTCATCCCCTCCCAGAAGTGATAAAATCCATGGTCATGAGGTCTTAAAGATGTGCACTTGCTTTGGCTGTAGACCTGGCTTAATTTAAAGAAAGTTAATGATATATGGCAATCCCTCCTGCTTGATGAAGGGAAAGAGTCACAGCATTGCTGTTCTGCCAGGACTTTGCCCAGGGAGTCTTGCCATTTTGGAGGGTCTGTTTCAATCCGTTTGCTCACAGTTTTGATGTTGTGGCATTTCTTCTATCTGAAAGAAGCAGAAGAACAATTTTGCTTTTACAGCTATCTGTTGCAAGGGGAAGCAAGCCATAAAAACATTTGCACGTTCTGCTTTGCCTTTGCAAAAACCTGGCCGGTTTTCAGTGGGAAAGGCAGCTATAATTCTGGGCCAGTTTTTGACTGTCACACGATCAATTTTGAATTTAATTTCCTTGGGAATATGTTGTAGCTGCTGACCACAAACAGAATTCCTGTGTGTCGCAGTGCGTGTAATGTCAACATTCATTAGGGAGCAGGCTCTGAGAGAAATGTAAAATCATTAAGAGTTTGTTCAGGGAAGATAGGGCTTTTCCTTTCAGAGCTACGCACTTCAGGCTTGGACCTGTATGTGTGCACAAATGAATATCCTGGGCACTTCCAGCAAAGCCTTTTGAATGAATGACGATTTTAATGTATCCTTACCCTTCAACTGACAGGCCACTGAGCTGGCCTCCATAAAAGGTACCAAGGCAGAATAATGCACTATTTAGAGAGATACAGAAAAGTGAGGCGAAAAAGAAAAGACAGTGATTATCTGATAGCGTTATACAGGAGTTGTCAGAAGGGGTCACACAATGGGAAGGAAATTACTGAAGAGGGAGCCATTCAAGAAGTAAACTATGCAACAATTGTAGGAGCCAATTAATTGGTAACTTATTGGACACAGAAGCTTGCAATAGATGGCTGACTGGTTGACAGGAGCACCGTTCCTGTAAGTGTTTAGAAATAATAGAGTAAATTTCACCACTTCACATACTGAATAGTCAACTGTTGCAATGTGCTCTAAATATGCTAATCCACTGCGCCCAGTGTCCACTGGAGCAGGAGACCCATGTGCCTAAGAAGTAGAAGGCTACTATGGCACAATACAAAGAATTCACAAAAGACCTAAATGATCAACATTGGAAAGTTGTTACTGTCTTTCTACTTGCTACTTAAAAAAGAAAGGCGTTGGTGTTGTTGCATATTCATATCTCCTGGCATGTTTTAACAGGTCCCTGTAATTGGTACCAGTGTGCCAATCACTTCTTAGCAGGCAGAGAAAGGACTCCTGAATGCATCGTGTACACCTTGGAAAAACAAATAACGCAGCTCCCAAACCCCAGGCATCTTGCATCCAGCCTTTGCTCCAACAGAAAACCTGGGAGCCTCTAATGCTCCACAACAGGCATTCTTTGGGAGCATCTCCCACTAGGAGAACACTCCAGTTTATTCCAGGCTGCTCTTCACATCCTTCATCTGTCTTCAATTAAGGACCGACAGAGATAACCTGGTGGTCATTTCCCCCTAGTCTGGCTTGTTTTCAGCTCTCAGATGTTCTGCTTTTGAGTTCATAAGTGGAAGGTCACAGTAAATGATCAACAGTTTGAACAGTTGAACAGTTTGAAGCCTGGAGAAATGACTTGTTGATAGGAAGCAGTGCCAAGAAGGTGGGTTTTCAGAGTCTTAATCTCCTGATCCAAGTCTCCCAGCAAGAAAAACAAGATTAAAAGAGATGTCAGTCTTTGCAAAGTGGATGTGAGACATCGGTCCCAATGCGCAGCACTTCTGCAATGTGTTGAGCTTCCTGGGTACAAAGGATTTCTTATTTAAATGCTTTGTATTATTTGTACGCGTTGTTGGTGTTACCAAATTAGACCTCATATTAGCTGAAAACCTTGTAACTGATCACAGCATGGCTCAGGTTGAGCTGGTTTGGGTTCCAGAGCCCTTTCCATACATTTCTCCAAACCCATCACAGCTGTGTGGTGCTGCATGGCCCTCCCTTGTGTCCCAGCCCTCCCATTGGGGTTCAAGGGTGCTGGATCTGCCTCTTTATCCTTAAAGCAAATAGAGCAAGAAGGATAAGAAGTTGGGAACGTACAGATGTTATGCTAGAAGCTTGCAGGACTTCTTAGAAAACAGCAAATGAGAAAAACATATGGGCTGATTTGGCACAGGGAGCCTGTGTGGCTGCTAGACGTGGCTGTGCTATTTGAATCAAACAGCAGCTCCCTTGGGGCTTCTGGGCTCGGAGGGCTTTGTTCCTCAGGGAGATGAAAGATGCTGGGTTGACAGGAGAGTTTCTTCAGAGCATCACACCTCTAATTAATACTTGGATCCAGAGAAACGACTGAGGGAAGTATCGATGCAGGTATTCAGGCTGTGTGGAGTATCTGCTGCAGGCTGGGACCGTTGTGCTTAAATTATGCAGCACATGATAAATAATACAGTAAATCTACTGACATTCAAGTCACATTTCTGTGGTGTTTCTCAAGGCAGTGATGGGATGAAGTATCCAAATACGGCTGCTTTGCATTTTTGCTGATCCCATCCCTCCCTTGAGAGGGAGATTTGATTTTTACACCCATTGTAAATACAGGCATCCAAAAGGTCTAATTTAAAAGATGAAATCAAGTTCAATTTGAATTTAATTCAGACCTCTTTACACTTCAGTTCAAATGATTTTTGAAGGAAATGGTTCCTTCTTATTGCTCATTAAACGCGGGACAGGTCATGTTTTATTGTCCCTTTTATGACTGAGCCATTTACTGCTGCAGTGGCTTGGCCAGCTATGTGATCATTTAATCATTTAATGACATTGTTTTTCTCTGTCTAGAAGACCCAAGCATTTTTCTTTGCAATGCAAATAATGAAGTGATCTAGCATTGCCTGCCTAATGAAGCAAGGAAACCTTGAAGCTTAAAAATTTCCTGAAAAACAATACAATGAGCATGACAGGAGAAATGTTTATGAAGTGCTCGGTAGCTTTTGGACCGTGTTTTGCCAGTAGCCTGATGCTGCCAGTCTGAAATGGGATCCCTCCAATGCTGCTGTCAGAGGCGTGAGCTCCCCATCCCATCCTTGCCCTGCCAAGTGGATCCGTATGTCTTGGTAGTTAATTTGCCCTTCCTTCCAGGTGCTGCTTTGCCTTTCTGTTTTCCCAGTCTGTTCCAGAGCCCGTTGGTTATCCAGTGAATCCAATCCTCATAATATTCTTTATTATGCAAAGCATAAGATGAGATCTAAAGCGTACTATTACAAAGGTAACTTTCTTGAGGTTGTCTGGTGCTAATGGACCCCAGCAACAATTTCTGCCCACTTGAGGTGGGTAAGACTATGGCACTGACCAGCAGAGCTCCTGGGAGGAAATTTTTTGGGTTAATGTTTCCCTTTCCTAATCACAGCTCTGAAGTGTAAGGCACAGACTCTTCTGCTGGGAAGCACACACGTCTGGAGGGCTCACGGGGTTTTCAGATGCAGTAATCATCAAGGGTGGTTCTTGCTTCTCCTTTTCTGTAAGCTCCTTAAACTGGATTCCCAGTTCCCATCTGAGGAAAGTATGCTTTCCAACTGCTGCTCCAGTAAGGCGAATTCCCTGCCTTGCCCCTCTGCTCAGACACCCTGACACATGCTAGGAGTGATTTAAAGCTGCCTTTGTCAGACAGTGTCTTAAAACACAAACCAACGAAACAATAAAAAGCAATAGCCTGATACTAATGAAACACATTGTAATTAGAGCTGGCTGAGAGTTTTCCAGTGAAAGCAGGCTTTGTTGGAGAAAGAAGAATTCTCTGATTCTGAACTATTTAATATTAAGTGTTTCAGTTTTGAAAACGTTGCTGCTCTCCAGCCATCCTCCATCAGACCCAGCACTCAGGATGAAGGCAGCCCTTTCAGCTCAGAGTTTGACTCCTGGCTATTCTGTGTACTCAGGAGTTCAGGAATCGAAAACCCAATGTTCATGCAGTCTCCGAAGGCAGTGCACAGATCCACTAAGGGTTAACAGACACAAAGCATCACTTCTAGCTCAGGAAATCCCCAAGTCATAAATTGCTGGTGGCAAGGGAAGTGCATCAGGGTGTTTGCTGATGTCTGTTGAATCCTTGGTCGGTCCAATGTAGGAACTTAGACAGTGACTTGCAGAAGTTGGTACGATTTTATTTGGTTTTATTGCTCTAGTGAAAAGCATTCTGGGAACTTCATCTTAACCTGAACGTGATGTTGAAAGCTTCCACATTTCCTGTGATGGTGCCTTGGTTTTCCAAGCAGCACAAAGCGTGGCTTTGGGCAAACACTTAACTGAGAATGTTGTTTTTCTCCAAAGACAGTTCTGCTAAGAGCATCAGCTATAAGCCATTGACTTTACTTGGTAGATCCCAGTACAAGTGCATGGTACCACTCCGTAAGAACTTGGACTGGACCTCAAGAAAGTCTGTGCCTTGGAGAATTTCAGACAAAGGCCCAGTTTGCAACCTTTATATTTTTCCCTTTCTTACAGACGGCCGCCCAATTGGTGTGGAGGGAATCCAGGTGCTGGGGACAGGAAATCTGATGATCTCAGACCTCAGCGTGCAGCATTCTGGCATCTACGTGTGTGCTGCAAACAAACCTGGCACTCGGGTGCGAAGGACTGCTCAGGGCAGGCTCGTTGTACAAGGTGAGCACAGCAGGGGTGTCACAATTGCAGAGTGATGGTACCCATGCGCTTTGCACAGCTTCTGTGTGTCTCTGGGCAGTGAGACGGGTTGGTTTGGGCTTCACTGATGGTGTCAGACAAAGCAGTTCTTTTTTAACTGTGGTTCTTCAGGTGGGTGAAAGTTTCTATATCCCACAAAGGTGAGTGGTAACTTGGTATCCTTGAACTGAGGTCTCAGCTGTAAGAGTTGCAGTGTCTCAGCGCCTCACCAGAAGTATTATGGCTGAGCAGACTTCTGCTGTTACCTGTACATCTCAGCAGAGAGCACAGGATGAATTAGTTAGCCAGATTTGTCTCTTTCCCTCTGCATGGTCTTAGTGATACAGGGATGTGGGCACCGTTCTCTTACTGGACAAATCTGCATCATTCATGCAGTGATATCCAGGAGTAGGTATGGCACAAATAAAACTAAAGCCATTTCCAGAAAGTCAGCAAGACTATTTGCTTTAGCAATCTACACTGCATCTGAGCATCTTGCTCCAGTGTGGGTAAAGCCCCATTTGGGTTCACACTCAGAGAATGCATACTGCTCCCCTTCCCTGCAGCAACTGTCCTAAAATGTCACTGTGAGAGGGTGATTCAGCCCAGAGTAGAGTTCAACCCTGAAGAAACCAAACAAATCCCCTGCATATGCTCTGTGTAACCAGTCTCCATGGTGAGGGGAGCCAGGCAAGTATTTCAGAAGGCAAACCCAGCTGGCAGTGTGCTCTGAATGGCAGTAATCCGCCCCTGATTACAGGCACTCACCTCCTCTTCAAGCTAGTCCACTTAAAGCATCGTGCGTGCTCTCATCAGTTCACTCATTAACTATTGACTGATGATATCCTGAATCTGAAATTATACACCTCCTGCCGGAGCGAGCTAATTGAACCTTTCATGCTGGTGATGGGGAAAGTGCCCTGCTCCAGCCCTGATGCTCACCTGACAGGTCCTGAGAGTGGCTGCGGTGATCCAGCACCGCCTGCAGTCCCTGTGTGCTGGCATCCCTGTTCCCTTTTGCTTTGGGAGCAGCAGAAGGGGAGCTTGTACAGGGCTGAGTGATCCTCCTGGGTCTCAGGTGCCGGCAGGAGGTGAGAACTTGCCATTTCTTTTGCTGTTGCATTTCTAAGTGAACTGTGCAGTGAGCACTGCCAGCTGGCCTGGGAGTCTCTTTTCAAGCAACACAGCCCAGGCATTGAGAACAACCCAAGCATTGAGAAAACCTCACTGTACTGACACAAACAATTTTGAGCTGCTGCAAGATGGCTCTGCACATGCTGCATGTGCTGCCCAAGCACAAAGCTGATTTCTAGGTAGCAGACAGGCAGAGCCAGAAGAAATTACTTGAAAAATCTATGATGTTGTAAAAATGCAGAAATTAGATACACCTGGGGGTTCCAGTTAGCAATTGGAGGAGAAGGGAAAGGGTAGCACAGTTTCTCATTGCCACAAAGCAGTCTCTTTGGGGAGCTGAACATCAGCCCCTGAGCAGCAGCAGTTTGTCTGGAGTAGGATTACTGTGGATTTTCACCTAGGAAACCAATATGAGAATTTCTCCCTAAAAGGGAGCCCAGCCTCACTATAGAAAGGAGTTGTTTCAGTGCTGGAGATGAGCAGAGAAGTGGGCAGTGGTGTGGAATATCCTTTGTGAAACACTTATGGACATGAGCTGCGCTGTACAAGAGTCGAACCTGCGTTGCCATCCATAAAGTGCCCGATGTTGAGGCAGGCTGTGCTTCCCCAGGAGGCAGCTGGGCTCATCCCGGCTTTGCTCACCCTCCTTCTAGAAGCAGCTTCTCCATCTGAATCTCATTTTGCCTGAATTTTTCCAGCTGAGAGGTACAAATGATTGCCGTTCAGGTTTGCCTGGGAAGCAAACACCGGTAATGACTGATGTGGGAGACTGATTTTTATCTTTGTTGAGATGGCAGCGATGCAGATTACATCCATAAAGAGAATAAAAGCCAAGAACAGGCTATCAAAAGCCTGGTTGGAGAGGAAGTTAGTACAGGGCTAGGACAATGCCAGAATCCTCAAAGCGCCAGGCCAGGTACTTGCTGCCTTTATACAGGGCCATTGAAGTGCCTGCAGGCACAAATTAACTTGCCCTGTGCCTTTTGAAGGAGGCACAGTTTTATGGATGGGAAACACGGGCAGAAAGAGCGATGTTTCCTGTTGTAAGGCGAGGAGCTGGCAGGAGGCAGGGACTGAAACCCCATCCGCCCTCCTGCTGCCGCCTCTGCCTCGCTGCAGGATGCCAGGGTCCCCATCCCAACAGCCACAGAGGTGTTTTGTCACAGGGCTCTGCTTTTCCTCCAGCTTTTCGCATTGCAGGCTCTCCTTCAGATCATCTTATTATCTTCCTGGGAATTCCTCCTCCCTTCAGAGGATAAGGCCTCAATCCCCCGCTCCCTCCCTCCCTCCTTGCCCTCCCCTGGCCATTTAGGCTCCTTTGATCTCTTTTGTAAGGTTCTCACACAAGAAAGTTTCCATTTTCTCTCCAGATCCCAGTGCAGACATTTGAATATTGCTTTGTGCCGGGCTGCCAATGGAAGTCTCCCAGGGGAGCTGTGGAAGGGCCGAACGCAGCACGGCCAAGCATAGGGCATGCGTGTGTGCAGTGCAAGGGAAGAGCAAGCTTTGGTGGCAAGGGGAGAAAAACATATCAAAGCGCTTTCTCCCTACCTCCTGTGCAATCTTTTGTGCTTTATTATGTGTTTGGTGTCATAACAAACTGATGGGCTGTGAATGGCCAGATGGTCACCAGTGTTCTCCACTCCACGCTTCATTTCCTCCTGAAAGCTATGCAGAAAAATGAGAGCCCATCTCATAAATGGGTACCCATCCTAAGGATGTGGTTTTGAAGGCTCTGCCGACAATGCTTGCCTTGTTCGTGTTGTTTTCTGCTGGCAGAACAGAGCATTGCACCTCGGTCCAACAGATCTGGCTGCCGCTGCACTTCCTGGTGTTTCCTCCATCTCCGTGCCGTGTTGGTGTTGCTGTAGGGCTGAGTTTGCCAGCAGATGTGCTGCAGTTGCTGTGGTTAAGGCTCAGCACCGTGGCACGTGGTTTGCACCTTAGCCCTGGCTGAAATTCATGCTTCAGAACTGGCCCTGTGACCCGCTGCGTGGGTCAGCCTGCCCACCTGCTTGGTTGCCTTCCCAAGGAAAGCAGCTGAGCAGGGGCGTTGAATCTCATCCATCAGGATGATGTAGTGAGCTGTGATGCTGGAGTGTCCACTCTGGGCCAGGTAGGTGACCAGAAGGTGGCAGGGCCATGGTTCTGTCTTTGGCCCCAGCAGTCCCACCAGCTCTGCAGTTTACGCAGTTTCTCACGGAAGCGTCTGTGCATCCTCTTAGGCAGTGGAAAGAGGCAAAATGAGAGGTGGTTCTCTATCTTCTGTCATCTGATGCTGTGCTTGACTGACTTCCCTGCTGACCCATCTTCTCCTTTATGCCCTTCTTGTACACTGTGGACGCCTAATTTATGAGGTTTTGTTGCTTCTAGATTATTCTTCCTCCTCCTTACTCCAGCCTCCCTCCTTTAACCTATGACTGTAGCTAATTGAGAATTAATGACTGCTTAGTGTTTTGGGTGCAAGGGGCACTGGCACCTCGAATTTCACTGCAATAAAGACTGCACCCCAAGCCAGTGCCGGGGCTGGGGCTGCATAGAGAGGCTCCCCATTATCTGAGGCCCAAGGGCTGGGAAGAGATGGATCCAGCCCAGCTCTCCCATTGCAGCCTGCTGTTACAGTGCATCTTTGTGCTATCACAGTTTGTGCACAGAAAAACCTATTGCAGCACTTTGTTAACGATTCTGAAGGTGGCATTAAGCATTATTGCTTTTTGATACCAATGCCCTTAAATATTCATTAAAAATTCATTAAAAATGATCCCCTCCCTCCCGTTAAGTCCTGAAGAATCAACATTCTGGTTTCCTCATCCCACAGAAGCAAGAGCTGGAGCCTGCCTGCTCCTCCTTGGATGGAATCCTCTGTTCTGAAGAGTGATCTTTGTTAAGGTCTACATTAAGATTTTCCTGGGAGGGCTGAGATGCTTCCCCTCACCACCTGCAGTGGCCTTTTGGCTGCAGGGTGGAAGGACGTGAGCTTTTGAGGCTGCTGTGCCTCAACATGCTGAGCACTAATGAGATGCTCTGTTAATTATGAATGAAAATAAGACAGGGCTGTGCTGCTGCTCCTTTCTTGCCAGTGAGGGGATTGAGTGCAGTCTCAGTAGGTTTGCAGATGACACCAAGTTGGGAGGAAGTGCTGATCTGCCTGGGGGTAGGAAGGCCCTACGGAGGGATATGGGTAGGCTGGATCCATGGAAATATGGCTGTGAGGCACATAGGCCGTGGGGATGGGTTGGGGTTGGATTTGGTGGTCTTAGAGGTGATTTCCAACCCCTCGGTATGGGGTGAGCCATCAGAGGGGTCCATAATGAAGCTATCCAAAGATGGCCATGCCCTTCCTTAGCACTGCATCTTGCACCTGTGAGCATTGCAGGCGTGACTCCTGAGCCCAGATGAAAGCCAGGAGGTACACAGCCACTTGCAGAATAATTGCTCCTGCAAAACCTTCGCCAGCACAAAATGGGGGGCAGGAGGTTAAGGAAGCCTTGAAAATCAGGTCCCTAACGTGCTGTGCTCTCAGTGTGTGCCACAGAGGGAACCGTTCACTGCAGGGAAGGGAGATTTCATCCCCATTTGTCTGTGCTCCCAGCTTTATTGAACCCGTCCTGAATTTTATTTTAATTTATAAGTCTAGGGGGAAAAATGTGGAAAGGAAAAAGAAGGACAGTGCATCGATCGGCACCTGGCGAAGTTTAGCAGGAGGTTCTGAAAATATGTGTCCATTAGGTTGTTGAGCTCAGGTTCATTAGTAGACCCGAGTGCCTGACAATAAACTCTGCTGGGGGACGCCCCTGACTGCTAACATAAGTCAGGGCTGCCATGCTCCACTTCCCTTCGGTTATTAAAACTGAAATAAGGGGTTCCTTCAAGGTAGATGAGCTCTTCAGTGAGCTTCTGTGTCTTTCTGCTTGCAGGACTTCTAACCAGTGACTTTGCTTTGAGACAGAGGCACCTTTTGGTGTGCTTTGGCCTTGCCGCAGTGATAATGATGCTGTTTCCTTGCATGCATGCAGGTGGGGAAAAGCTTAATCGTGCTGTGCTGTCATAGCTAAACCCCTTGGTTTTTGTTCTGGGGTTTTTTTGGCCATGAACCACGAGGCTCTGCTCTTGCGTAGCTGCTTCTGCCTGCAGCTTGCACCCAGCCAGCACATTTTGCTGGACCAGTCTGCTCCTTCCTCCCATCTCTGCATCTCACACCGGCACCATGCATGGAAAATCTTGCAGGTAGCACTGAGTGTTTCTCCCTGGATGATCTTGCTTTTGTCGGAAGAATTTAACGCCAGCCATCCGCTGTGCAGCACTGGTTGGTAAATTCATTATGGGCTCATGCCTCTCGTCTGTTTGTCTTCATTGCAGCTGCTGCTGGTTCCACCTGATTTTAGGTCTCAGCATCAGCATGGAGTGTATTTATCACTTTGCCCTTTGAAGCGTAACTGCTTGAATAAACTCACCGGTTTGGCAGCGCCTTTCAGCCCCGCTTTCTGTAGGCTGCTGTGCTGTTTTATTCTGATAAATGGTTTTAAATCTATTCAGAGCTGCTGGGAGGGGGAGAAATCACTTTCTGTTTACAAATCTGAAGGTAAAAATGTTTGGTTATGAGGTTACAGCAGTTACAGGCTATGCGATCTCCTCCAAGGCTCAGCAGTTCCAGAAGGGTCCCAGGCTTCGGATCTGAGCTAAAAAGGGCTTCCTGTCTATTGCCATCAGGATGATGTACAGCAAATCCCATATTTGCTGGGGACAGAAGAACCTGCCAGATTGCCATGTGCATGTCTGTACATTCCTGTCCATTTGCAAGCAGTTTGCTAATGCCATTTTATATGTTATTTGCTGCCTATGCTGTGGCTTAGCCAAATATGTCCCTGGGTCTGACAATAATAGGACTTTCTTTCCCCAAGTACCTGAGACGATGCAAACCAAGCTACAAGGTTGCTTTTCATGCCAGAATGAAGACTAATCATCCTGACTTCTCTCCTTCTTCCTCCCTGCAGCCCCTGCAGAGTTCGTGCAGCATCCCCAGTCCATCTCTAGGCCCGTGGGGACCACAGCCATCTTCACGTGCGTGGCCCAAGGGGAGCCCCCCCCACAGATCACTTGGCTGAGGAATGGGCAGATCCTGGAGACGAGTGACCACATCAAGCTGAAGAATAACAACAGGTAAGTGCCAGGGTGAAGGGCAGCGTCAGCCTGGAGTTACCATGCACAAAGGATTGACATCACCTACCTGATGGCCCAGAAAGAGCTGTCGCTGCAGGTCTGTTTCACATTGTTTAGCTACAAACGTGGGATCAAACTGAATAAAGAGCACATTAGCTCACACAGGCTTTGACCCGTGGGACCTGGCAACCGTCCTGATCCTCTTCTGGGTGTTTCTGGGAGGGCCAAATATTGTCCCTGATGCTGGCTGGGACACCACGCTCACTCCACGGTGGAAGAGCTCATACACTGATCTGCCTGGGTGTGCAAATGCATTTTCCCGTTTGAGATATTTGCATGGAAGCTGGCTGTCACTGAACTACAGCCTTTTATCTCACCAGGGAAGAGTGTTTTCTCTGAGTACTAAATAACTGCATTTCCATTCGAGGGGATGGGGATGTTTGCACTGCGCAAATGATACGGTGGGATGCACTTAGTGTGAAAATTGCAAGTTGACAACATATTTCCTATGGAAATGGCATTGAACAATGTGCTGAAAAATAATATTACCTGTGTTGTAAACCTAAATTATTGGTAGAGATTTGCACTCTGTAGTGTCATGTAGTTGCTCTCTGTATTGATAAATGTGACTCACAAGTCCACCTCGATGGAAAGTCAGGACCTTCAGTTCAGTCTGGGTTGGTACCAACACGTGTTCCCTAGGAGAAAAGGGGGTTTTATTTCTTTAAGGTTCTCTGTAAGGCAGCTTTTTGTTTTCAGGGTTGAGGCATTTTTAAGGTTTGTTACATGAAGGATGTGAATTGCAGGAAGGACAAGGTGTGAAATGTAATAACATCTTCTTGATCAGTGGAGGGTTTTTCATACTGAGATTTCAGAAAGCTTCAGTGAACTTTGTGCGTGCACTTACAGATGCCACTCATTCCATCCTCACGGTGTAATAGCTCACTGCTTGGGTTTCTGAGGCATGTCTGCCCTTAGAATATGAACAGAAATGGGAGAAGGGAAGTCAGTGCGTCCCCCTGTATCGGCCAGGAGGCAGAGTCACGAGAGACCAAAGACTTCAAAAGCCATGAATAAACTCGCACAGAGTCCAGATCTGGGTCTTTCCTTGTGCCTTGCCTGTGAAATCATTCCTCCTCCCTGTTAAAGGAAGGCAAAAGTAGGGTCTTTGATCATGACCACGACTTCCAGCCAGTCCCACTGCCCAGAGCTGCGCTCCACGTGCCTGTTAGCTGCCACTCGGTGAACATGGCTGTAATCATTTTCTTATGGCAGTCATTTAATGCAATTTAGCTGCAGCCTTTTCCATTGCAAGCAAACCGATCAGATTACAGTGCATCTGTAAAAGGCTGGGGGAGCTCAGCCAATTCCTGGGCTCAGCTGACGTGTGCTGTCTTCTGCAGCTGTAGTAATGCAGTTGTGAAGCAGAACCCCGAGGCCATCGCAGTCGACAATACTGAACTTTTGGCTTCTTTTCCTCTACTTTTGGCCTGCTCCAACCCTCAGTTCAGCAAAATGTCCGTGCCTGGCAGTTTCCAAAGCTTTCAGTCTGAAAAATGCTCTTGCTTGTCCAGTGTGTTGTTGGGTGCTCCATGAATCGAGGGAAAAGATGGATTAGTGTTTTATTCTTGACCTTTTTCAAGCTGTGCTTTGTTTCTTTCTCATGGGCATGACTGAGTTCACTTAGTTCCAGGCAGAATCTGCGACTGTGCCTTGGATTTATCAGTCTATTGAAGTTGGAAAATATTTGTCCATGTAAAGATGGATCACAAATCTACTAGTAATGAAGCTACTAAACTGCACCGTGAGCTATTTAATTAGATTTCATGGTTTCCTAGAAAATTCATTTGGATTAAAACTCTGCTTAATATAGCAATAAAGGTCTCAATGCCCCCATAGGGATTTTTAGGAAAAAAAAGAGTACATCATCCCAAATCATCATCCCAAATCATACCACGTGCTAATTGTTTTCAAAGCATGTCACTCAGAGCAACCTTGTTCTTGGAAAGGAACCCAACTAGAAGTGTGATCCAGACCTGCAGTGTCCGAGGTGGAGCTCTGCAAGCACAGCCCCTGCTTGAGGCATGGATCTTCTGGCTGTGTCCAATAAATTCCTCTTCCCTCGTGGTCCTTCTGATGCGAATCGTCACTGCCTGGTGTGCTGATGGTTTCTTGACACATTAGCATTAAAGATCAGCCTTCTGCTGTGCCCTCTCCGGAGGTGGTTGTTATGTTTTGTAAATGCCAGCTGCGTGGGAACAAAATACCCAATCGATGATTAGCAAAAATCAAAAGCAGTTCTGGGATAGTGGATAATTGTTGATGAAAAATGCATGAAGGCTCAGGTGTGGGGAACAGTGGGGTTTGCCATTAAAATCTGTGAATAAGAAGCACTGGAGGGGCTGATGATGGGGGGTGTCCTGCCATGTGATCCCCGGGTTGGGGAGGGGGTTGAGAGGTGTCAGAGGGATGCTGTGCTCAGCCGTGCCCCTTGGTTCAGGGCTGACATGCTGCCCTTATTTTTGATGGGGTGATTGGGATCGATTGTGATACCAGTGCTCTGGCCTAAGAGAAAGAGAAATCGGCGTTTTCAGCTGCATTCCCACCTGGCAACACAGCCCTAACGCATGTGGGCTGCTGCAGCAGGAAGGGGTGGTAACTGGATGTATTAGTTATGAGCTTGTGTAAAATCATGCTTTTTAGGTTATTACTTCAAAATCTACAAGGAAGCATGAAATATTACCTAAATTACTGCTCTGAGAGGTTTATTGCTTTTCTTCCTTTAACCCAATCAGGTTCAGGGGGATAATTTTCAGCCCAGAAGCGGGGGTTATGTTGCTGTAATAGCAAGGAACAAAGGCTAACATCTTCAGAGAAGGCAGGCTCTAAATATTGATTTTCCAAGAAGATTTTATTTACAAAATGGTAATTAAGGGACTTAATTTGTTCCACGGGAGGAAGGCTTCGTTAGAACTCAGGCTCAGGTGGTGTTTGCTCTCCTTGTGACCTTTGCTTATGAACTGTCTGCTGCTTAAATTCTTCATCACTGGTTTGTCCTTGTTTTAGTGCAGTGGGAATGACTCACTTCAAGGGCTGTGCATGTACTTCAAGGGATTATCAGAGAAAATACTCCCCTACCTGATTTGAGGACAACTTTGCTTTTCTTGACTGGTTGTGTCGCAGATACGGAGAATGGGCTTCGAGGAGATAGCCTCATGTGCTTTTGGGTACCAAACCCATGGCAACCACTGGTTTTGGTAAGGCATTACTGGCTGGCAAGGAGGCATTTGGCTACAGAATCCATGTTAGCTGGGTGCAGAGAGGTACAAAGGGATTTGTGCATCCCTTCAAGCTCCTGAATTTGGAGGGATTTGGGCGCCTTGCAGGAGGACAGGCGAGCCTGTGGGTTGTGCACGCGATGAGCTTAAAGACCTTTGGTGATTATGAGAAGATATTGAAAATCATATTTCAGTTCCCAGAAGCATGACAAATAAGCACGTGTAGGACCGGGATGCGAACCAGCTGCTTGTGATTTAAGAATAATTTATGGATTTGACTTCATTTGGAAGAGACATGTGGGGAGGCTGTGCAGGCTCCTAATGGCCCTTGTGGGGGGGTGGGTCTGAGCACGGTCGCACACAGCGTGATGCTCGGTGGGGCAGCCCCTTCCGTGGGCACCAGTCCTGTGCCAGGGTCACACTGCAGCCCCAGGGCAGGTGGTGGTGATGGGTGTCAGTCTGTCCTCTTGTGGCTGCTGTTGTGTTGCTACTGCTCTACTCAGGAAGTGCAGTTCAGGGGCTTCAGTGTTTCTTGGGACAAAATACACCTGGGAGGGCTTATTATTGAGCAGCAGTAGCTCTCTCAACTGTCTGTATTACTGCTACCAACACAGGCATCCACCCTCCTTTCCAGGAGCTTCTTCTGAGATGTTCTGTGCTCTGTGTTTCTGTAAATGTAAAACCTTCTCTGCTCCCTGCCTCGGACAGGATTCTGTTAAATCTGTAGTTTCAAACAGAGCAAGTGGCAGCAGCTCATTCACTACATGTCCTCAGTGCTATGTAACACTGCAAACCCAGGTGTCCTGAAGCCAGCAAGGAAGGATGAGCATTTCAGGATGAAGTGGTTCTGCTGCTGTACCTTTTTACAGCATCCGCTTCTGAGAAAAGCCATCCTACAGCCACATCCCTGTCCTGCTGGAAGCTGTCCTCTCCCAGGGCTGCAAGAAAGAGCAGCATCTCTGACAGCTTTGCAGGGCTGAGCATTGGCTGTGACCCTTTCGTCCTGCAGGTGAGTGGGTGGGGAGGCTCCCACTGGCACCATGCTTCCTATTTGGCAATGGCAGCATTCCTGCAGGAACTGCACTGGGGTGAGTCTGTAACCAAAGAGCTGGGTGGGATCCTGGCCTGTGTTTTCTAGACACCAGCCAGGCTGCACAGAAAGGGATTATCCTCCTGTCCTGCATAGCACGACCCAGGCGATTCGGTTCCACCTAAGAAGCCTGCAGGGCATTTAATTCCTAGGGGCGTTAGAATGTGTGTGAAAGGCTGGGAATGATCTGTAGCGTCCGTCTGGGCCAACGAGTGTCACCCTTTATGTTTTGCACCTTATTCTCAGCCTACACTAAAGGCAGCCTCCAAACCCAGGCATTTCTGCATTAATTTCATCACACTCCCGCTTTGTGCGTGCGCGCGCATGCTGATCTCCTTCCAGCTGGGCCCCTCTCTTCCTTTGTGCCACTGAATCGATGAAGAGCCTTCCTTCAATCCTCAGACTTTTGCAGAGGAGCCTTTGGAAAGCTGATCTCTGGTCAACCGCCCGGACCCCTGACCTCAGCAAGATCAGTCATCCTGATTGCCTGCAAGCCGCGAGACAGCTTGGGAATAGCAGCTCGGAGCCCTCCCACTCCCCTCCTCACTCTGGCTCAGCAGAGTGTGAGCCCACAGCCTTTCTTTTCCCCACCTCCATCAACACCCAGCGGGGCTTTGTGCCCAGATGTGACGCAGCCCGCGCGGCTCTGGTGAGCAGCACAAAGTCCTCTGGCATCTCGCCGTGGTGGCGGCGCTGCCGGCCTGCTGCTTACAGGAAAGTTTTCCAGCAGCAGATGTCCCAGGAGTGACAGATTTTTCCTGGTGACAGGAAGGAAGAAAAGGACACCTCCTATTTCAGATGGTTGATGCGCAGCGATGCTCTGCGCTGCCTCACACAGCAGCCACCTCTTTTCCTTTTGTTGGAGCTTCCTTAGAAAAAGAGAACAATTAAAAAAGCATCTTCTGCATCCCAGGGGTGCTGTGTGAGGTAGGCAGAATGTGTCAGTAGTTCAGATGCAAAAGGATGCACAGCAAAGAGAGTATGAGAACTGGGGTTCCCATAACCCACTGCCAACTCCTTATATTGCAGCTTGGCAGCCCCTTGTAGGGCTCTGTCTGTGAGTTGAAGGGAGAGAAACTGGTGTTCACAGAGCTGGTGTTTAGATGCTGGGCATCCCACTCACTTGATTTGTGCTCCTCCCCCAGGTTTATAGGCAGAGCTGCAAATCCGGCAGCTTTACTGACCCTGTTGCTTGTGCATCCTTCCAGGTGACTCATTGTACAGCCAAACCCAGCTGTTTTGTTTTTCATTGCAAATCACGATTAAGATGGACTTTTCAAAGCCAGAGGCACGTTTGAAGCTATCTTCATGATCAGTTTGAGGGAATTTGCCTTATTTCTATTCCTTCTGGCTTGGCACCCACTAGCACTCTGCAGAGGATGGCCGGGGCACTGCCAATGCATCTCAAGCATCCTCCCCTTTTCCCTCCTTTCTCTGTCTTTTAAATGCAAAGCAGATAAGTAAGTACACTTGGAGGCAGCAGATAAATGGTCCTTGTTCCTGGCTGGCTTTGTGCTTACCACTGCTCTCGGTGTGTATGCCAGCCCTGGCTGCCTGCTCCTGGTGCCCAGATGCACTGCAGCCGTGCAGAAATAATCCCCACATTGACAGGGCAGGAGGAAACACCGCTGCTCCCTGCACACATCTGCTTTATGCAGAGCTGCAAGTGCAGCTCTTGCACTGCATAATCCTGCCTGCTGCCATCTGTCCTCACCGGAGTCGGGCCGTTGAGTTGAGCCACACGCCAGGGCTCCCCTTCCATTTAATCAGATCTGCTGAGCCCCTGGCAATGAGAGGGGCTTAGGGCTTGTTCTGTAAAATCACCATATCAGCTGAAACCATCACATTTGATATTCCATTTACAATGTTTCCAAGGAAACAAAGGCACGGAGCATAAATAGATGGCTGTTAAACATTTGCTCACTCACCATGGTCTGGATAATTTGCAAGGCAGAAATACAAATGTTAGATCAACAGCGATAATAAATTTTAACACTGGAAGACCAATATTTTGCCGCAATTAGAAGCATTCATTCTGTCATCCAGGCAGGTTATTTATCATTGCCTCCTCCCATGTACTGTCTTTCATTTGCATAAAAGACAGCTTTGATTACAACTCCCTAAAAACCACAGAGTGCCCCTTGCATCAGCAGAGGTGCTCATGATTTACTCGTGTGCACTCAGCTCTGAGGTCCATCTGGAATTCACTTCAGAAGAAGCTGGTCTCATCCTCCCTAGAAGCAGCAGGTGTGGTTTTGGTTAGATTTGGCTCATTTTTTGCAGAAAAAACAGTGAAGAAAAGGCTCGTGTAAGCTTTGGCACAAGGCAAAGAGATGATGCTAAAACTGAGAGGCATTGAGGTCTCCCAAACGTTCTGCCAAAATTCAAATGAAGTGGACTGGGAGCTCGAGCAGGAACTTTACCTCTGGAATGAAACAGTTGAGGTGCCCATGTGTACATGCAGTCTAGTTGTCTATGTGCACACCAAGCCACCAGCAGCATCCCAGAGTGTGCTCACCAGGGGTGGTGCAGAGATGGGCAGCGTGCTCAGGAGCACTGTCTTTTGGGGAAGAGGTGCTTCAGTGGCTTTCTCCCTCTATTAGGGTTGTTTTCCAGCAGGGCAGCCTATGGTTGTCTTTGATGCATGGAAATGCACCGAGGGTTTTTGCAGACGCTTTAAACCTGCACTGCACTCATAGATTTTGGCTTTGGGCTCATGGTGACTGTTTTTTTGAGAATACAGAGCTAGGAGCTGAGCACGTAACCCTGCTGAATAAGTCAGCTAATCCTCCTGTCACCTTAAGACTGCTCTAATATGCTGTAATACAATTAGAGCATCACCGAGGGGCATTCTGGCTGCACTCAGTCAGTCCTGGCTTAGCACCCATGTGCGGCGCCTGAACAGAATTGCTGCTGGTGGCTGTTTGCCGTGCTGTGTGGCTGGGTTACCTGTGGCCATCTGGAGATCCTTGTATTTACCTTCACCTCTTCAGCATGGATTCGGGTAGGAGTGTCCTTGGGAACTCACGTAATCCCCGTTGCGGTGATGGGTTGATGGTTGGACCCGACGATCTGAGGTCTTTTCCTACCTTGATGATTTTATGCTTGGCCCTCTCGTGTCCCCGTGCAGCACTCTGTCCATCTATGGGATCAACCAGGCGGATGAAGCCATCTACCAATGCATCGCCGAGAACAGCGCCGGCTCCACGCAGGCCAGCGCCCGCCTGACGGTCCTGTGGGCAGAAGGGCTGCCTGGACCCCCGCAGAGCGTGAGGGCCGAGACGGTGTCTGCCACCACCATCCAGGTGTCCTGGGAGGAGCCCCTGCAGAACACCAAGGAGATCATCGGCTACGTGCTGCACATCCGGAAAGCTGCAGGTATGGTCTGCCCACTGCCCAGAGGGTCCTCAGCCTTCACAGAATGTAGCAGTGAGGTCCAATAGATGCACCGGGTCTGCACTGCAGTGCTGCCATCAACTCCATCTCCTCCGTCTTTCTGAAAGATAGGTTGGGCAATAAGGGGTGGTAAGAGTAGCAAAAGGGTTGGGAGAGTGAAGCTGTATGATCAAATCGCATCAAAAGAGGGCAGAGGGACCCAAAAGAGAGTATAGGGACCCAAAAGAGGGCCTCTTCATTAGGGACCAAACTTACTGCTTACAAAATCTCTTTAATCCCTTTACCTCTTGCAAAGTCTAATGTGTCTCTGTTCTGTCTTTCAACTTAGATCCCGTGGAGATGGAGTATCAGGAGGCTGTTAGCAAGAGCACCTTCCAGCAGCTAGTGACTGATTTAGAACCCTCGACCAGCTATAGCTTCTATATAAAGGCTTACACCTCCCGGGGTGCCAGCAAAGCCTCAGAAGTCACAGTGGTGAGCACACTGGGAGAAGGTAAGGATCGCTTTGCACTTGGGCTGTCAGATGCTGAAACCTGCTGTGCACAGCAGCAGCACCACTCACCCTGATACCCGTTCCCCAGCGCCTTGGCATGCAGCCTGTCTTGTTGTTGCTCCTGATTTCTGCTCTTCTCACACTGTGGGGTATTGTTTAAAGCTCACGTTTATTGTTGTTACATGGGGATCAACCAATGGCCTTAAATGTTGTGTTTTACTCACTTATGCCGTAGCAGAGTGTGAGTGCAAATCAGTCCTCTCATCCATCTTGCAGCAGCTGTGGGCTTTTCCTAAACTGCTTGCTAAATGCACATTTCCTCTTGGAGAAGTTCCTCTGCAGCTCTGGCACTCACAGCTCTTACCTGATAGGTGCCACGCTTTTCTGAATTTAACCTTTTTATGCTCTGCCTTTGAGAAAGCACACTGACTTGGGTTGTCCTAGCCCACGAGTCCCTGCCCTGGAGCAGCCCTCTGATTCAGTGGGAAGTTAGGCAGGTCTCCAGGTCTTTTCTCTGCCTTGGCCTCCCAGATGTGGCCACCGGTTGGCTTCTCCAGTTAAAGTGGGAACTCTGATGCAGGGCACTTTGTGTATGGACACCAGCCAGAAGCCACAGTCTGAGTGTGATCTGCAAACATCACCCATCTGGCTGCTGGCATTTGGAGGACGTTCTCCTACCATCTCATGTGCCTCTGCAGCACCTCTGAGTCCTTGTCTCACTGAGAATCATTTCCTAGGAGCCTGCCGTTGTTCTCCTGAACGCTCAGTATTTACAAATTTGCAGCAGGGAGGGCATGGGGTACGATGTAAGATTAAATAAAAGAGGACGCTGACTTACAGGTGGGGAATCCGGCCCTCCTTCCATCTTGAGCTGTTGCTGCCATTTAGTACAGCATTTAAGCAACACCACCACTAGACACTTGCCCCGCAAGTTTATTTTATTGGTGCTCCACAGGAAATCAGTCACCCTTTGAGTTTGTTTTTCCTTCCAATTTAGAGACAGAGGAACTGACCAAGCTGCAACTTGAAATTCCTTGACCCGATGCTCTGAGTTCAGCTACTGCAGCTAAAAGCCAGCCATGCTTCACAGAGTCTGGTGCTTCTGCTGAAGTTTGGGTCAAGCAAGATAGGGCGTTTTGTCATTATTACCTTCAATCACAGCAGGAATAGTTAAGTATCTGGTAATGGGATCATAAATTTCCAGGCTCTCTGAAATTGCAAAGCATCTTTGTCCTGCTCTGCTACCCTTCAAAAAGTCTTATTCTGTGTTAATGAACCTGCAGCAATTAGCTACGTGTTCAGGACGGACAGGCTGGCCTGGTTAAGATCACTCAACCTGGGGTTGCCTCCCAGGATGATAAAAGGAGATTTACAAGCCCACTTCTGTCTTGATTTGTAAGTAGACATGGTGCAGACAGTGCTGGCTCTCTCTGAATTTTTTTTGCTTTGCTTCACTCTTGCTCACAGAGTTGAGAGGGGCAAGGAGCCAGGATCCAGCAGCTCTGGCCACCAAATTCAGGTTTTGCTGCAGATATGCCCCTTCTCATGCACAGCCACGCCATGTCACACTGTGCCTCCCCAGGTTACACCAAAGAGCAGTGAGTGACCCTTTGTATCTGGGGAGCTGTGAAGCCGAACTGTTAAACGGCCTTGGAAGGGAGCAGAGTTGTCCTGCTCTGCTGGAAAGAAGCTGAGGGCTCCTTTTGGCTGCAGGATATAGCTCAGCTCCACAGAGCTTGTCAGAGCTGCAGGCAAAGGTGTGGGCAGCTGGAACTGCTCAGACTCACCTTGCATTGACCGTGTTCTGCTGGTGTGGTTCTCAGAGCAGGGCTGCTTTTCAGGGTAGTAATATGCTGAGACAGTGCACGTGGCTGAAGATCCCAATGCTTTCTGTAAGCACAGTGTCCCTTCCTTTGTGGCCAGTGATAATTTTGGATGAGAGGAAGGCAGCAAGGTGCTGCAGAGAAGCCAAACAAGACAACCTTGTCCTCCTTGCTAGAAAGGTCTGCTCGCCTCCTCGGGGTTCTTCCTCCCCCCAGCACTGGTGGCCCTTCTGCCTGGTGCCCATCCTGTGCTGGTGTTGGGATCTGGGTAGGCAGGGAGCACTCGCCATAGAAAACCCTTTGACTTCCTCAATTTGGCAACCCAGTGCTTTTCTGGGAGCTCTTGTGCCCAGCTCAGGGCTTCTTTATGCCACGGTATTTTAAATCTCAGACTCTGTGCGCTTCATTAAGCAGCATGCAGTCCTGTTCTTGTCTTTTAATGCTTTTTAGGGTTTTCTCCAGGACTTTTTGACATTTCTCTAGGATGAAGACTGTTCCTTTAGTCACCTTCGGCTAAAGAAGCCTTCAAGAAGAAAGTTGAAATGACCTGGGGAAAATTCCAAACAGCACAGAAGAGGAAAACGAATATCCCAGCCCTTAGCATGAGGGAGATGCCTTACTTATATTAGAGTCATATTATGTTTTGAATATATACTTCTGTGAAGCGCATATACACTCGTGTGTGCAGTACATATATTGCTGCACACACAGATGTGCTCCATCTGTATACACTTATTTGTGTAATGGCATTATAAGCAGCACGTGCATCCTACAAGTACGTCCATCTAATCAATATTATACTTATATATACTCAGAGTTTGAATAAATACTATATATTTCATACCTTGAAGGGGAGAGATTCTTGTGGTTTTTATTAAATGTAAGGCTCTGCAACCATAAAATAAAGCCAACTCTTCACAAATCAGGATGGGCCACGCTAGTATTTCTTTCTCCATAATGCAATTTCCCTTCCTGTGGTGTTTGCACTGATGATTCAGGAACTGATGCTCTGAGCAAGGGTTCGACTTCTCGGAGGAGAGATCCGATTCCTTATTTTGCCCTAATGGGAACTGAGAGAAATTAAGTGTGTTTATGTTATTCCATTGGCTCAGAGAAGGAGGGCATCTTTTTGGGATACTCACCAGGAGAAATCTCTTCGCCTCCCCCTAAATCTCCTTGTGGGAACCCGGGCTCTCAGTGCCCGGGAACAGGCCAACTGTTGTGCTGTGTTGTTGTGACTTTACTACTAAATGGAGGCAGTGCCCTTTTTAGCTCTTGTCAGTCTCAGACAGTCACAGCCACATTTCATCTGCTTTTCAGCAGTGCTCGCTAAACGGCTGCGCTGAACTCTGTGCCAAAGGACAGTGTCAGGGCCGGGTTTCACTGCTCATCGTTTAGAGACCTGTGGGGAAAACCAGATAAAAAGCAGCGTCAGTGCAATGCAAGTCCACCGGCCCTCATGTTTGGGGTATTTTGAGCTTATAATCACTCAGAACTGGAAAATAACTCTGCCTCAAAGCCTTCTCTTAGCTAAAGGCTGAAAGACAAGCAGGGCTGTTGTTCTGCTCGGTGATTTTTGTGCTGGGTTTAGCCAAGCTCCCTGCCCAAAAACCTGTGTGGGAGCAGAGCCCTTGGGCAAGACAGAGCCCACAGTGCCTGCTGCCATCCATCCACCTTCTGAAAAAGGCACAGGAGCTGATGGGAGCATCTGGCCTGGGGGAGTTGTGTGGAAATGAAGTGAAAAAATCATCAGTGAAAGGTCCTGCTGAGACACATCTCTGCACTGATGTGCTCAATGTGGGAGAGAGGGAGGGAGATGGGAAGGAGGATGCTTAGGGGCACGTGGTGCTGTGTGCCACCGCTCTGCACGGGGTTTTGTGCAGAACCAGCTTTGGAAAACTGATTTATTTGATTCAAAGAAAATGACTCTGGTTTGCAAACCTTGGCCTGATGGGGCAGGATGCGACTGGGCAGCTTTTGGGGACCTGAGAACAAAGTGGCAATGACACTTTGCTGTTTGTAACCCCAAAAACGAAGGCAGGATTTTGGGTCTGTTGAGCAGAGTGCCACTGATGGTAGCAGAAGGCTTCCAGGTGGGCTCTGATTCCGGGCTTGGTGACAGTGGGCAGCAGCATGGCTGTCTTCCCCACTAAATCCCCCTGCATCCTTACAGCCAGGTAAGTGCCAGCCACAGCTGTGCATGGAGCTCAGGCTGCTTAGGGAAGTAGGGCTCTTACTGAAGATGCCTCCATTCCCTCCTCATTCCCCCAGCAGGGAACCAAATGTTCCTCTGAAAGCCAGCAGGGAGAGCAGCCCAGCACACTGTGCAAGCCCTTGCAGGTACCAAGTGCACTCAGCCAGGCAGCAGCATACATACCTCACGTTCTGCTTTAAGACAGATGTCTCCGGCTCCATCCTTTCTGCTTCCTTCCTCCCTTGGGGATTAATCACTCTGAAAGGTCCTCGCTGCCCGCTGCCCTCGGGGTGAGGGCAGAAAAGTGGAAGCTGAGAATGCATTTCCAAAGTGGCTGCATTCCTGCCCTGACCCGGCGGGGCTGAGCATCGGATTGCAGCTGCTTGTCAGAGTAGCCTCTGTGCCGGATGAGCTGAGCACAGGGAGCCCCTGGAAATTCACACAGCTCCCTGAAGAGAGTCTAGGCTGTTAAACCAGGGCCCTGGTCTAATTTGATTTTCTCAGTCTCATCTAGCACATTCTTTGTCGCAGTGGCTGCAGGGAAAGGCTGGTGGGGAATTTCTCATTGTACAGATACAGAGCGCGCACAACCCACTGTCTCTCTTTGTATGTTTCAGTCCCAGCCATGCCATCCCTCTTTATTAAAGTCATTAACAGCACGGCCGTGCAGGCGACGTGGGAGCCCTCCATCAAACTGGGCCAGCACGAAGGCTTCAAGCTCTACTACCGCAAAGTCCACCTCTCCCAGTACACAGGCCCAGTGCTGCTGGCCAGCAACGTCACGGCGTACAACATCACCCACCTGGGTGAGTGCACTGACTGCTCCATCCGCACCACCTCCTGACGCCCGGAGGGCTCAGCCATTGAGCCGGGGGTGCTACAGCTCTGTCTCAGGTTTATGGGCACTTTGCAGGTGGTGCAGTTTGTCTTGTGACTTGTTTGCAGCATCTCGTTGGTGATGGTGTTGGTGACGTGTGTTTCCTAAAGAACTGCTGCGCTGTGGAGAGAACGCTGATGATTAAGCCTGAAATACCCTTCTTGTTTCTCCAAACAGATGCATCAATGGTGTATGAGGTCAAACTCCTTGCCTATAACCAGCATGGGGATGGAAACTCGACCGTCCGCTTTGTGTCCTTGAGGGAAACTGCGGAGAGGACAGGTAGGATGAGGCTGTTCTCAGTTGTAGTTAATGAATACTGATTTATAGAATCACAGACTGTCCCGAGTTGGAAGGACCCATAAGGATCATTACCTGACTCAAAAGGACCACTCAAAAATCAGACCATTTGGAGGCAAGTGGCAACACATCCCCCAGACAGCACCACTTCCAGTCACTGTTATTTTCAGCCTCACAAATGATGAGAGTGTGTGGGGCTGGGACCATGCTGTGCTGATAGGACTTGGCTCCCTTGCCACGATCCATCCCAGCTGCCCTTCATTAGGTTCAGAAGCCAACACCTCAAAGCATTAGGTAAAAACTGCTGTCCTCAGGAGAGACATGGCGCACTGAGCATCTTTGCTCAGCCCCCACGGACATTTGAGCTTTATTGGTGGTAAGGAAGGAGGTCACGTGGCTTTGAGAAGAAGGGCTGCAGAGCATGAGCATTACAATATGAGGCAGAAGAGGAAATCTCTAGAGGGAATCTCTAACTGCTCACACCTTTAATTTTCACCTATGTGTAAGAAACATCCTGCTCCTCTTACAGTTCTTTTAAGCCTTCCAGTGGGAATATCTCCAAGAGAGAGGTATTACTCCTCTGTCTATGCTAGAGTAAATACTCATCCCGTTGGCAGCTGCCAGCTCAGTGCCTTCTGCCAGGTGCCGTGCTCACTCGGGGAAAGTCTGATAACAGCAGCCTGCGTGATGGGGATGGCTCTCTACAGCCTCTATGGGGTACCAGGAGCAGGGGAGATGCTTATGTATGCCAAGAAAAAGGAAACTTTCACTGCTAACTTCCTCTCCCCCTTTCCTCTGGCAGTGCTGAACCCCCCGTGCGACTGCATGAAGGATGAGCAGAACAACAAAACCTCTGCAACTGGTATCATCATTGGGATCCACATCGGCGTCACATGCATCATATTCTGCGTCCTTTTCCTCATGTTTGGGTACAGAGGAAGGTAAGAGCTGCTCACCATGCAGTGGGTTGTGCATCCTGCAGCATCACTGCGCAGCCCTGGGAATGCCACACTGGTGATGTCGGTACCGTGTTCCCTGCCTTCCCCCCAGGCACACAGACCCTGATGTAACTTTATAGGAGGGATTTAAAGAGTGAAGGAAGGTAGGGAAGGAAGGTAGGGAGGTAGGAAGGAAGGAAGGAAGGAAGGGGAGGAAGGAAGAGAGGAAGGGAGGGAGGGAGGGAGGGAGGGAGGGAAGGAGGGAGGGAGGGAAAGAGGGAGGAGAAAGGAGGAAGGAGGAAGGAGAAAGGAGAAAGGAGAAAGGAGAAAGGAGAAAGGAGAAGGGAGAAAGGAGAAAGGAGAAAGGAGAGCCAATGGCTCTGCTCACCCTCAGGCATTGTTTTTGGCATTGTTTTTCAGGCTGCTGATGTGTAAAAATGTGCAGGAGCAGCTGTCGACTCCGCAGATCCCGAGGAGCCAGAGGAGCGCTGCGGGGATCATCCTGAACGGAGCCGCCCGCAGGGACAGGGACGAGCGGGACCTGAACGGAAAGCAGCTGGACATGAACGAGCTGGAGAGGTTGTTCCCAGCATCACCATGTCCAGAGCAGCAGGACAAGGGGATAATGGTAAGCCCAGCAGCACGAGGTAGGAGCGCACCTGGTGGGGGTGGGTTGCTGGTTGGACTAGCTCATCTTAGTGGTCTTTTCCAACCTTAATGACATTACGATTCCATGAAATGCCTAAGAGCATTGGTCACCTGCCACCATCAGGGAACTTTCTTTCTTTGCAGCCTGCTCACAGCCCTCCTGCCACCCACGACGACACCCAGATATCCACGTTGCCAATGGACGAGTTCAGCATTGTTGAGGAGCAGCCAGACTCTCCCCCCAAAAGCCCTCACAATGGCAGCCCCGCTGCTTCGGCTCCCCGCCATGGCCCTGCCAATGAAGGATAAACTGCCAAGACTCAAACCCTCTTGCAGGAGTTACCAGAAACCAAAACTGCAGCTGGTGATGTCTTTACAATGATTCATCAATCTCAGGTCAATTGAAGATTCCTGCAGTCTGATTGTTATTTTTTTGTTTTGCTTTATTTTTTTTATATATATATATATATAAATATATATATATATGTGTGTGTGTATACAGCCTTTTTGAAACTCTGTGAAGTTTATCTTTCTGACCTGTCTCAGGCCCCTTGGTGCATTTCTTTCAACGATGGCTTTACCAAGACTGGTCATGATTGGTTTTCCCATAGCTGCTAAGTAAAAGGCTCCTTGCAGAGCCTGGCAAACTCCTGTCCCCGACGGCCCGGGATGCCTCGGTCTCTTGGCATCACAGACTTCTTCCTGACCAGCAGCTTTAGGACTACTTTTTTGGATCTATTTTTTATTTTGAGAAGACTGGATTCGGAGCAGTCCTTCTAACTTGACTCCAAAAATTGAGGCCTGGGAAGGCCATCTCTCTGTGGATTGGATGATTTTGTACACTTTCACTATTTCTCAGGATATTTTTTTGCTGATTGATTATAGAATATGAAGAAAAAAAGAAAAAAGAAAAAAAAGTGTGTCAGAGGAAGCCTGCCTGAGGGCTACTGAAAGACTTGGATGAACAACCCGAGTGAAATCAGAACCTACCTCAACCGGAATGAATGTCTTCTGGGAAGCAGAAATGCCTGCGTCTTCCTTCGTGTTCAAAAACAAGTAGTGTAGCACTTGGTCAGTACAAGCTTGGTCCTACCTCAGCCGTCCCGCTCTGTACCTGCCGCATCGTTGTTGTTTTTGTTGTCGTCCTTCCTGTGTAAAGCACTTCCAAACCTTGAAAGCAATGTTCTACCTCAAGTGTGCGAGAAATTCGTGTGTGTGCGTCCTCACCCCCTCCTCCTGCCTCTCGTGCAGGCAGCTGGTGTTATGAGCTTTATTTTAGGCACGGTGGGATTTCGCCTGGTGGAGATTTGTGTCGTGTTTCTTTTTTTTACCTTTAAAGACTCTGGGGACCATCACGGATATGGCCCACATGGTGGTTGATGCCCTGCGGCTTGCCAGCACCGTTGCTCTCACAGAGCCCACTTGGTGGTCCCAAATAGCTGTCTTGGCCCATCCTCGGGTGTATGTGGGATGGGTGCTCTGGTCTCTGTGCTAAGACCAGGGCACCCTGTGGCCAGGAGCTCGTGGAAACCCCAGCTCAGCACTTCCGGAACCCACTGAGATGCTCCTGAGTGGGTTTCCAGTGAGCAGGGCCTCGTCTTGAAGTGGCCACCGTGGTCCATGCATGGCCAACAAGGTCTTGTTGCTCTTGTCAGGACGGGGTATGGGAGCTCTGACTGCGATGCAGAAGGGCTAGCAACACCAAAGAGACTTTCTGTGACCTCCACCAACCTGCCACCATTTTGGGATTCATAGATTCTTAGAATCACAGAACGGTTGGGTTGGAAGGGACATTCATGATCATCTAGGTCCAACCCCCTTGATGGGGACAGGGCTGCCTTCCAGCAGCTCAGGCTGCCCAGGGCCCCATCCACCCTGACCATGGGCACCCACAGCACTGGGCAGCCTGTTTTATGTTGTCCCAGCCTCACAGCTTGGTGTGTGACTGATGTTGCCCGTCAGGTCCCCTGCCATGTGGTTATTAAAACCAGACAAGCATGAAGGTTTGAACTCTTGTAGAGGTGGTGGCAAATCCAACGTCACCGTGTTTGCAGAGAAAAGCAAAAAGAATCAGGAAAAGAAATGAGTTTAAGAGAAATAATAATTGTATTTTTTTAAATGGTACCAATGGGAGAGTCTCTTATGTCAGAAGCATCCCCCACCACCTTCATATTTGGCAACGGGATGCTGCCAGTAAGTGTGTAAATAATACAATATATGGGATGGTAAGGAAAGTCCTGTCCCGTGTGCTGCATCCTGGGGATGGCGAGGGCCAGGTGTGAGCGGGTCCCTGTGCTTCCAGACCAGATTCAAGCAGCCCCTCTCACCCCACTGGCCGTATTCCTGCTCCGGTGTGCCATGGGGACAGCACCATCCATCCATCACTGAAACAGGGCCGGAGCTGAGCCGTGACCAGAAACCCAAACCTCTTCCCATCCTGCTCCCGGCCCCGCTTCTTGTTTCCTCGTCGTTGTGCGGAACGCCGAAGCTCACATTGAAGTACTGTTGCCAAAGTGAACCCATGACTTAGAGTAGCTTTCAGCTCAGGATCCCCGGAGCTGTGAATATGCTATTAATTTAATATCATATTATTGTGATATTGTAATAGTATTTCTCATTACTTCCTTTTATTAAAGGGAAATGCTGTGCCATTTGACTAGTTGGAATATGGTAGTACGTCGAGAGTAGATTTTTTTTTTTCTTTTTAAATAATTATGCAGAAATGTAATGGCTTAAACCAGTGCAGATTCTGGGTTGGTTTGAGACGCTTGAAGATGGATGTGAATCTTTAAAGGCTGTTTTTAGCTGTATAGCTCTTCCTCTTGTTGAGTTTCTTTGACGCTCTTGTCAACCCATGCCAATGGTGGGGCAGCCCTGCAGGGCTGAGGCTGTGTGGCCAGAAGGATGCAGCCTTCCCCACCTCATCAAAGCCTCCTGAATATACCAAACTGGGCAAAAAAACCCTCCAAAAGGTGGCAAGAGCCGGTCTGTGGGGTCATCATGAGCCAGGCTGTAGGCAAACCTGGGCCAGAAAAAGTGAGGGAAGTGTTGTCTGGAGTGGCTTTAATTTGTAAAGCAGGAAGGAGGAAAAAATAAGAGCTTGTGTTTGGTTTCAGTTCGGGGCAGAGGATCAAGCCTGCCCTCGGTTCATCCAAACTGTTGCCCTGTTTTTGCTGGAAACCATGGGATTTCTGTGCTGCCACTGGGAGGACAAGTAGGACAGCAGGTCCCCGCGGGGCTCTGGGGGGAGGCTGCAGGTGTCAAAATGCTCATCGCAGGTGTTCTGTGAGCCCTTCCCTGTTCTGTGTCACCAGGGCTTTGTTTCTGCATTGGGTGTTGGGTCACCAGAAGATGCAGATGAGCCCCACTGCTGTGCTCCACCACGTCCCAAACGTTCAACCCAAAGCTTGCCGGCTTTTGGATTCCTTCTCTTCTTCCCTTTTCCTCTTGGCTCAGAATGTTTTATCCAGGTGCAAAAAGCAGTGGATAAGGGCAGGCTCTGGGTCCCAAGCCGGCTGCTGGCAATCACCCATGGCTGGGGCAGGAGTCGCGTCCTGAAGTATTTTACAAGAAAATAATCCCACTAATTCAACCCCACCTGCCTTTTCAGGGCACATCCAGAAACCCCCTCACTTTTCTGGCTGTGGTGAGATGAAATTGCAGCAAGGAATTAAGGTATCCAAAAACTGACTTTCATTTTATTATTTTTTTTTGTAACCCATAATGGGCACAACCTATTCTCGGAGCTCTCAAGTCTACCAGAGATGGCTGCTACCTCAGGGATAGTATCCACGTTGTGTTTAGTTGGACAGGGACTAGTTTGATGCTGTGACAGGGTATTTTCACGCTGTTGGATTCAGGTATTTATTTGTCTAATGTACCTTTCTTCTTCCTTGTTATGGAAAGATGCTGAAATCTTTAAGTGCTGGACCAATTTGGGAATTTTAAAGGTTCCACCCCAGATGGTATGTTTTTGGTTGGCAGTATACGATGAGAGATGCTGTGCCAGAGACATTTTGGTGTCAGTTGGGTGGCAGCTGCTTGGTGTGTGCATAAGGGAGATAGGTGCAGGGCTGCAAAAGCAGAGCTGAACGTAATACATTTCATGGAATCATAGAATATCCCGAGTTGGAAGGGACCCATAGAGATCACTGATTCCATCTCCTGGCTCCACATGGGACCACCCCAAAATCAGACCATAATTGCACCGACGGGTTTATTCTATGTAAGTATGTACAAACACACTGCTAATTAGAGAACTACTGAGCAGTCATTTCCACCACCGCTCAAACTGATAGGCAGTCAGTGTGGCCATGCATACTCCATCCCCATGCCCGCAGCATTTTCCTCCATCCCTACCCACGCTCATTGCAATGGCCTCAAACCCATCAGGCGTTGGGATCCTCGCCGAGCTGCCCAGGAAGGAGGGGAAAAGGAAATGAAAGCCCTATGAAAACAAGCAGCACAGGGGGAGCGACTGACTCCCTTCATCTGTGCAAACAGGATTTGGAAACGGATCCCTCCCGATGCTGGGCTGTTCGAGGCAGATTAAAGATCCTATCTAGCAAACCCAACACCGGCTGATTTATTTTCCCCCCTCGGCAAATTGAAAAGAAACAGGGGAAGGGAAGCACCTCTGGACATGGTTATGTGGGCTGCCAACGTGCATCACATCCATGCAACGGTGCATCCCAGGGCAGCAGCTCCAGGGTTACCCCTGGAGCAATGTTTGGTCACCTCGTTTTGTACAATAAGGGTGGTGGGCCAGGGCAAAGCCCAGAGATAGGGGAAAAGATTTTAAGAGCTCTGGTCACAGTCCTGCAGAGCTGAGGGATTTTACTTTGGTCATCATTGCGTCATTGGAACTTGCAATGTCCTTGAGTTTGTAAGAAAGTAATAAAAAAGATGATGCTCAGCTTTTGTCCCGGTCCTTTATGGAAATCTACCGTTAAAGAGTAATGATAAAAACCCAAATTGCAAAGCACTTTTTTTCTACTGTTTATTTTCTACCTTTCTTACTTTGAACTGTCTTGATATTTGAAATCCCATTGATGCTACAATTGCTAGCTCTGTATTAAAAAAAAAAAAGAAGGAAAAGGAAAAAAAAAAAGGAAAAACCCCCTCTTCTTTTTTTTTTTTTTTTTTTTTTTTGTAGTTTGCTCTGTTTAGATTTTAGCCCGTGGCTACTTGTACAAGGAAAATAAAGCTAGAATAAATGAGCTAGAGCTATTCAGCCTGAGCCGTGCTTTGTTCCTGCCGCAGCAGATGAATGGCGGCAGCGTGGGAAGCGCGCGGTGTGCCGGGATGGCGGCGGTGGAGGCTGCTGGCTTGGCTGCTCTCGGTACAGAATGGCTTCCAAAAGGCCGTCAGCAAGGGCTGAAGGTTGGGGCTGGGAACCGGCTGGGAAGCACAAAGCCATCGGCGGCCCCACGGCCATCGGAGGAGGCTTTGAGCTCCTTCCTCTACCTGCTGAAGAATGGTATTTTCAGCCAACGTCTCAGAGGAGAAGGAGGGAGGGAGGAGGCCGGCAGCGAGCAGAGCGCGTGGGGATGGGCAGACGATTCTTAACTGGGTTAAGAACAGCTAATGAAGTCTTGGCAATTAAGCAAAGTGCTTCCTTGACCGCAGATTGCAGACCCATTGGGAAGGGCTGAGCACTGTGAGCTGCAACGGAGACACCGTGCCGGGCCCTTTGCTTTCTGGGGGATGCCTGGATACGGGGCTGAACGTTGACTTTTGGGGGCACAGTGGGTCCCAATGGAGACAGGAACACAACCCTGCTGCTCAGGCAGACGCTCCTGGGAAGAGCCCTTCAATGAGCAGTGAGTGCAAAGAGCCGCGTCACAGCTCCCCGCAGCCGCTCCCTGCCACGCGCCAGCTGAACACACACCTCCTAATAAACACGGGCATAAAAACTGATCTTATTTCCCAGTGGCAACGCAAGAGGTGAAGAAAGATCAGAGCTGGTTCACTCCGGGGATTTTCTTGTAAGTTCTGTGCAATACGGTGCTTCAAATCGCGGCTTTGGAGTCGGGGTATTACACAGAGCTCTCAGCTTTCATTAAAAAAGGACTTCCCTTGCCTTCAGAGCAATAACAAAAAGCTCAATGATATTAAGCTAACGCCTTAGAAACTAAAGAAAGAAAAAGGAGCCAAGCAATAATCTCTGATTTGGGGCTGTTGGGATGATTAGCGCTCGCAAGAAGTTACCCCAAAAAGGTCCCCAGATGTCCCCCGCTCCCTGCAGCAGGAGGATGCTCAGGATGGGTGTTTCAGGGATCCCAAACGTTCCCTCATTGGTGTGGCCAATGGCACCAACCTCCCTCTTCCTGCCTCGCATGCTGCCGCTGCTGCTGTTGGAGGTGTAACCCTGCAGCACGTTGGGAATTTATAATATCCCATAAACCCTCTCTATCTGAAAGGTCATTTTAGCGCTAATACAGCTCAGGCATTACAGTTTCATTTGTGACACTTTTATGAATCGCCGCTTAATTCCGGCGCAGCTGCCGTAAAACCTTTACAGCACTGTTCTCTGCCTCGAAAAATAACCTTTAAAAGCCACGAGCTGGAACATCTTCATCAGCGCCGTCTGACAGGGCTGGTCCTGTGCTCACCAAGGGACAAAACTGGGCTCTGGGTGCCCTGACTGCCACACGTGTGCCATGGGGGTCCTGGCTCCCTCCTCCTTGGTTTTTAACCATCACAGCCCTCAAATTGGGGTTTTCCACCCCGCTACGTACAGCTCCACCCCAGTGCTCTGCCTCCCATCGGGCTGAATTAAAGTTCTCCTAATTTCCTATGAAATTCACTCCTTATCAAACCCTAGCGTGGTCCAGAAAGCCACTTCCTAAGCACTAAAACAGCTAAATTAGTCTTGCTCGGAGTTGTAAAGGAGCTTGTCTTGTTTATTGAGCGATAAATATAAAGGTACAGTAACTAAATTCATCAGTCCCTAAACATAGCCACTGGGAACGGCCGTTTCCAACGTTCAATCTACAACTGCATGAATATTTCAGAGTCCTCTCTCCCTTGGGCACTCGCCTTATCTCTGGAGCCTGGATATTATTTTCTGCTTTTCAGCTTTTTCGATGTATTGGAGGAAATGTCATTATTTGGACCTGTGTGGATTACAGTTGACTTTTCTAAGCCAATTTATATTGGCAAGCTGCTGTTTTTAAAACACCCTATAAATCACTGCTATGAATTTTAATAATATAATGTGGTTTCAAACATGCTCCCTTAATACGTGACACACTATTACACTGGCAACAGCTCCCCGGGTCGCGAACTCCGTTCCATCGGAGCTCAATGTGGGACCCTACAGAGCGCGCTGAGCTGGCAGCTCCAGGGTGCAGAGCCAAAACCCAGTGCTGTTCCTGCACACGGAGCCTCCCACTGGTCCACCAGCAGCCCGAAAAGCAGGACTGGGGTTTGGGATCTCAGGGCACTCAGTGGCAATCACAGGCAGCATGGATACACGGAGCAACAGTCACCGCCTGCAGTAGCAGGGGAGTGCACTGCTGGCACCAGGGCTGAGCACTGGGTATGTGGCCACCACCTGCAATAAGAATCACAACGGTTGGGTCCATTCACCCTAACCAGACCTCCTGCTGGGGTCTGGTTGCCCCACCAGCTCAGGCTGCCCAGGGCGCCATCCATGGCCTTGGGCACCTCCAGGGAAGGGGGCACTGCCTTTGTTCCAGCTGAAATGGAATAGTTTTCATCCCAGTGCCTGGTATGGTTTGTGTTCTGGATCTATCAATGTTGATTACACATTGATGTTTATAGGTGCTGCTAAGCAGTGTTGTAAGGAGTCAAGGCTGTTATTCTCAGCCAAGGGCCCAAGGAGTTATGGAGGGAACAGAATGAGGACAGCTGGATTAACTGGCCAAAATGATGTTCCATACCATATGGAAGGAGAGTTTTGAAAGGGGCGGGAGTTCATCTGTGGCTCTTCCACTCGCTGAGGGACTAGTGTGGCATCAGGGGTTGGGGAGCAAATACTTGTGCATCACTTGTATATACAGTCATAACTATTTTCCTTTTCCTTTTCTCTATCACAGTAAATAGCTTTACCTCAACCCATGAGTTATACTCTGTTTTTTTCCCATTCTCTCCTCATCCCACCGGGAATGGAGGAGTGAGCAAACAGCTGTGCAGTGCCAAGCCACCCACCAGACTCAACCACAACAGGAACCCACACTGCTCTGTGCCATGGAAGGACTGAGAGGGACGGGGAGCAAAGCCCAGTGCCAAAAGCAGGCTTTGGGAGACCTTCAATGAACCATGGAGCACCTCCTGCAGTGCCTCCAGTGATGGGCTTTGGTGCCCATTGGTGGTTTGGCAATGTCCCCAGCTGCCAATGGGATTCAACGTCTCCAACCCTAAAGCAATCGCTGCCTTAATGCCACAGAAACCCAACCTGAGCAGGATTTTGCTGCAATGATTGAGCCTGAAATGTTGTCACATTCATCATTCATCTATTTTTTCCCTTTCTGTAACGTAACCTGCGATGAGCAGACACTCCAAGTGCTTGATTTTCCAAGAATAAATTACAGTTTCATAAACGGTATTTTGCTCTGCTGCTCGATTTGCAAGTGAAATGATGCCGCTTGCTTTGTTCACAGGATTTTAGCCAGCACGAATAATGCCATCCACCAGACTTTTTTTTTTTTAACCCTCACGTTATTTCTGTATTTGCTACAGCAGAACTACACGAAGCTGCATGCAACACACAGACCAACCTTGAGCAGCTGCAGGGACACGGGTGCCCACAGAAACCCACACATGTGGCTCTGGATGCGTGGAGCCACAGAACATCCCGAGGAGGAAGGGGGGCCCCTAAGGGTCACTGAGTCCAAATCCGGATGTGCAGAGCACAGCACCCCCAAAGGGAACACAAGCCTTCAGGGTGGAAGCAAATTCAGCCCTCACGTGTGGGTTTAGGGGTAGAGACCTTCTGGACACGCAGTGATTTTGGGCTTGGGGCTTTGGGTTTGGTTCTATAGGATTCAAAAAAAAAAAAAAAGGGAGGAAAAAAAAAAAAGAGAAAAAATCTCTACAGGTGAGAGGCTGAGTATCACCAGATTCGGTTTACAGCCTCTGTTTTCTCCCAGGGTGTTTCTAATGTGCGCTCTTTGGGGGAACCTCGGAAGTAAAGCCCCTCCCTGGGAGGACAGCCGCAGGCACTGGGAGATTTGGGAATCCTCGCAATGCAGCGCACAGAGCGGCTCTGGCCGTTGGGAAACAGAGCGTCACCTTTCAGCCCAACCCACCACCGACCGCTTCCAAAAGGAGATTGTAAAATCCCAGAGACAGAAACCAAAGTGCAAAGAGAAAGGAAAATCATGAGGCTGCCCGCCCCAGCCACGGCCATGGGGACCCGGGAAAAGCAAATGGGGCATTTGGCAGAGCCGCCTCCTCCCCCTCCCCGCACCTCCGTCCGACAGCGTTCCCAAAAGACCAAACACCTCCGGTTTCCATGGCAGCCTGATTTTCAATGAGCATCACTCAAGTCCTAACCGGAAAGAAAGTGTTTCATTAATGCGCACAGGACACGGCGGCGTCTCCCTGGGGCGACAGCGTCCTTCCCCCGAACCTATCGCACCTTCTGCCCATGCTGGCATTTTTTCTATTATTATTATTTTCCAATTATTTTTGCAAATGGATTTGCACCGTCCGTAGTGGCTGTCCTGCACAGTCCCATCCCCACCGCTCCGTGCTGAGAAGCAGCACAACTCTCCATTAAGACTCAGTGCTCAAGCTCCATCACCAGAATCTCAGCACATTTTCACCCTTGATGCTGCCCACCCCACGTGTGGTTTTTAACCAAAAAAAAAAAAAAAGTGCATTCTTTTCCTAATTCCTAGCAAAAATAAAGGCAGCAGAGCTTCATCTCTGCCCAGCTGCAACTCCCAGAAACGCCCCAGCTGCTCCTGGGAGGAACAGACACGCATTACAAGTCAGTGACGTTGCTAAGTGAATATCCATAAATTATTTTGCTATGTAAACAGTATTAATATCACACCTTCCGCCTTCAAAAGGCACGGATTCATTACAGGCACAGCCTTCCAGAAGAGCCCGCGCAGACTTTCGATTACATCCCAACGCAGCGGCGTTATTAAACACCGGCCATATATTTATTTTAATAGAGCACAAAGCTGGGCTTTGGCCACCCCACAGCCCCGCACCTCAGCGCAGCCCGATCAAACAGAGCTAATGTGTGCAATATAT